CTCTGGTTCTCTCTGAGCGGTTGTGGACAGAGGCGAAGGTCCCGTCTCTGGCGTCAGTCGTCGTTTCTGGTCTCTGTCTCGCTGCTCAGAAAGGTGCTCTGTGCGTCTGCTGGTTCCGTCCCTGGGACCCAGGTGCAGCGATGGAATCCAGTCCGGATCAGACTCCAGCATTTCATACGCCGGTTTACCTGTGAACACACAAGGTGTTAATATCAGACAGGGATGGTTACAATATCGGTGAAACTTCCTCTTTTAATATCATGAAACTGATTTACAACATCCAGCTCTGTTCACACCAGGGAGAATTCAGATCAACCCGCTATACTTACAGCTGCAACGAGTCCATTATTCATCCGTCAGCTGATTAATCAACAACAATTTTTGTGTTAGTGCAAAAATGACACAAATGACCTTCTCTGAGACGTACTGTTTTCATTTTATATGAAGAAACTGAATATTTAGGACAAAAGACTAGATTTGTTCTAGATATTTGCTTAAATAGACTTCAGACTAGGCTGCTCGATTATGTCAGAAATCATAATCACAAATATTAACACGATTAGTGATCGACTTATGAAACATCACGCATTTACTTAACTTTTTAAAAATTGAATGCTTCGTCTTTTTAAAATGATTATGCATTATCCCAAATAGCCCATTAAAATCAAAACACTGATTAAAATTCGATTCATTGCACAGTCCTACTTTAGGCAGTATTTTACTTTGTTATGTGTTTAGCAGGAACAGGACCAGCATGCAATGGGACTGTGACGTGAGCAGCAGTGAGCAACACGAGGCATTCTGCTATTTATACACAAATACACTGCTCAAAGAAATTAAGGGAACACAGTGTTTCCCACAGAATGACAGGCAACTTAGGTGACCGGGGGGGTTGGGGTGCAGTGGGGGGCGTCCTGGGGCTCTCCTCCCAGATCTGGACCAATGATCCACTTGGTGTCGTCAGATACACGATGCATAACATCCCAGAGGCTTTCAGTTGGATTCAGGTCTGGGGAACGTGAGGGCCAGTCAATGGCTCAATACCTTCATCCAGGAACTGCCAACGCCACATGAGGCCAGGCATTGTCCTGCACTAGGCGGAACCCAGGCCCCACCACGCTCCTCCAGGGCCCGCTACGCCAGGAGGAACCCAGGGCCCCACACAGTGTAAGGTCTGATAATGGCTCTGAGGATTTCATCCTGGTACCTAACAGCAGTCAGGGTACTGTAAGCTCGCACACCCTTAAAGGTCTGTGCGGCCCTCCAAGGGTGTGCCTCCCAGATCATCACTGACCCAACGCCAAACAGGCAGCATAACGTTCACCGCGGCGTCTCCAGACTCTTTCACGTCAGTGTGAACCTGCTCTCATCTGTGAAGAAAACGAGGAACCAGCGGCGGAGCTGCCAGTTCAAACTGCACGGTGCTGGGCAGTGAGCACAGATCCCACTCGTTGGGCCCTCATGCCTCCCTCATGGAGTCTGTTTCTGACAGTTTGTTCAGAAACATGCACACCAGTAGCTGGAGGTCATATCGTAGGGATCTGGCAGTGCTCCTCCTGTTCCTCCTCGAACAAAGGAGCAGATAACGGTCCTGCTGCTGGGTTGATGCCTTTCTACGGGGCCGTGTCCAGGTCTCCTCGTGTAAGGGCACGTCTCCTGGTGTCTCCTCCACGCTTTTGAGACTGTGGTGAGACATATGGATGAGCCACCCTGGAGGACTTGAACTACCTGTGAGAGCTGAATGGGCTGCAGGTACCACCTCATGCTACCAGCAGTGACAAGGACACTAGTAAAACTAACTAGTGTCCTTGTCACAAACTAGAGAACAATCAGTCAGGAAGGGTCAGGAGAGAGCAGCGGTCTGTGGTCAACACCTGCAGAACCATACCCTGCTGCCAAACAAACACTCCCCTCTCTTCACTGCTCCTTCAGAAGCTCCTCCCTCCAAACTCATGGACGCGCATTGCCATGGTAACCAATCCTACTGCTGCAGAAGTACAGCAGAATCCACAGTGTCTGCTGTCCCAGAGCACGTTAGCCTCAATAAGGCTCCGATCAGACAGAAAGCGCCTTTTTAAAAAAGGCGCCTCTTCTTTAAATGTGTCCATCCATCCATCGTCAACCGCTTATCCTACGTACGGAACACAAACACAGCATCCAAAACACAACAGAGTAAAAAACTAGCCACTTATTTGAAATAGTTTTTACAAAAATACAGAGACTGAAAAGAGCTGGAAGCACAGGAGCGACTGTTTATCTGCAGGGCCGAAGTCAGTGCTAACTTTGGGGCCAAACTCCTTCACTCTTTATTCAACAGCTGGCAGCAGCACACAGGAGCTCCTCTTTAGTCCGGAGGAGCTGCAGTCTTTCTTCACCGGCCTCTGGAGCTTCTACTGTACATTTACTGCTGAACATGGAGCTGACCCGTTTCTCTCTGTTCACCGGGGCTAAGCTAACAACGCTAACCAGCCGGGATCCTCACAAACATGGCGGCGTAAATAAAGCGCAGCGCGCCGCGAGTGCCCGGATGTTGCAACGGTCTTTACCGGCCGCCATCTTGGCTACGCAGCCGAAAGGGGTGAACCGCCAACGTTTTTTAAAACTCGTGAAAACTGCTGCAATAAAAGTTGAAGTACGTTGATTTTAAAGAAAATTAAACTGAAGCCAAGTCAGCAAACGAGCCAGAAGTTGTTTTGCCGGTTGACAATCGCGCGACAAAGATCCGCCCGGTTCCACTTTCAAGAAGAAGAAGCGGTAAAATGAGACGATCGTCATTTCCGGTAAGTGCAGCACAGTCAGGTCCGATTTTAGACAACACAACTGTGTGGAAGTTTACACTCGATGCAAGTTAGTACAAAATGTACACAGAGTACTACGTTAGAGTACTAACTGAAGTATCCAAATTCCGACACAGCTATGATTTCTTCTTCCTGGTTTGGTTGCTTAACATCGCCAAATAAAACAAGAATAAAATCACAAGATTTCTGAATGGGCTTCAGTTGCATGTTTCTCCTCTCTGAAACACTGAGAAAAAAACTAAACTTTAAGACCTTCAGGGAGGAGAGCTCGTTTCAGCAAGGTGTTCCTAATACACTGACTCACCTGAGTGAAAGTGTCGGGAGCACACTCTCATGGATGTGGGGATGTGGTTGAAGGTGATGTCGCCGCGGCCGACGGCAGCCACCCAGGCGGCCCTCCTCCTCATCGTCAGCTCGGATATCTGCTCTCCTTCGTTCCTCCTCCAGGCGGGGAAACAGTGGAAAGTGAGTCCGTTCGGGATTTTCCTCCTGCGGTGGTCATGAGATTTGCGGCGGCAGCTTGGAACGCAGCAGTTTCTGCCCCCCATGGCTGTTTCACAGACGGAAAGTGAGCCAGTGGAGTTAAAAACTAAGAAAACAAACACGGTGAAGAAGGGACGAGCTGCACGACAACAAACAACCGCCAACAGTAATGGCTGATCTCCCAGAACACACCGCGGCAGGACTTGAACGCGGAGGTCACGGGTTCGGGTCCCGTGTGAACCCAGAAGACAACGACTTTCCGTTTGTATTTTATTTTACGTTGTAACGTGCTTTCTGTCGCAGTTTGTTACGTTTAGGCAACGAAACAGAAAGAGATCGTGTTTTGGCTGAGTTTTGGTTACACACTGAGCACTGAGCAGGGCTTGTCTTTTGCGATCCGTTGATAAAAAACACCGTTAACCTTTCCCGCTTTTCACTCCACAAGTAATATTTTGGAACAGCAAAGAAATCGATTACAATAGCAAGAGAGTAATGGAGTTGTAACATGTCGGATAAAGATTTAAAACAACTCCGTTTAGAGAGAAAAGCTTAGCAGAGGATGGTTTCGATCCATCGACCTCTGGGTTATGGGCCCAGCACGCTTCCGCTGCGCCACTCTGCTGTACGGCGTACACAGTGACGTAAGACATATTAAAACTCTTCATAGTGGCTCACTGTTTTATTGTTTAGGGTTTTGTTAGTTGGACGACTTTTAAATAAGAATGGTTTGTTACTGTCATATTCAGAATTCCTTCAAAAATTCAAGATTACACTCACACCAAAAGTGTATGCAATTGTTTGTGATGCTTTTCCTCCAGGTCCTCTTAAATTTTTGAGAAATGTTAATTTCACAGAAGAAAATATTGTTGGAATTAATATTAACAATAAGTCATGCTTTTCCTCCAGGTCCTCTTAAATTTTTGAGAAATGTTAATTTCACAGAAGAAAATATTGTTGGAATTAATATTAACAATAAGTCATGCAGGGATGTTTTGGACTATACCATACTCTCTGCAGCAAAGTTCTTTTGGTCTTCTATTGTGAGTGATTTACAGAGGGAAAAGGCATGTACTATTCTTATCAAGTATTGTAACCTATTAGTAGTAAGGTAAAAGAAGTGAATTCCAAGACACTGCATCGCATTTACCCCCGCCAAAAGAAGTGTTGCCAAGATTTAAACTTAACATTGATTGTAACAGATTTTTGCAATTTAGAAAGACAAACTATATTTCATCTTTTTACCACTGTGAACATGCAAATGTATTCTGGAAAGGTTTGGAACATTTTATAAACAGAAAAACAGGTAAGAGTATAGTATTTAATGTATTTGAAGTCATGTTATAGTTTGTACTTCATGGTCCACACAATATTGTGCAGCTCCTCATCATACTTGGAAAATTCCACATCCACAATTTAAAATGCACGGGATCCAAATCCTGCTTCAATCGATTTACAGTTGAGCTGAAACACTACTGCACCTCCACAGAACTCAAAAGCAATAAAATGTCTCAATAATCTAAAAGAACTTAATTTAAATTGAGCTTCTGGCAATGTAAAATGTAATTGGTTGTGTGCGTCTTTTGCATTATTGTTACTGTAATGAACTACATCCAAAAAAAGTACTTTTATCATACAAATAAAATGACTATTCAGTCTTATCATGCACGTGAATCTGAATATCTATAAAACAGTTTCAACTCAGTAACAGACGAGACACGCTGCTTTTCACAATTTATTAACAAAATGATAAAATAAATAAATACAAATTGATCAAATGCTCCTAATATCAACTCCTCCCCATGTTCCCTACAGTATTTCCTAAACACTGCATACAAAGAATTCATCACAGAAGAGGCTCAATACAGAGGTAAGAATCCCACCAGACCAGTCACAATGTCAGGCCAACAGAAGACACATCTGGAACAGAAGTCAAAAAAATAAACACATTCCTTTCCAAAATCATTATGAAAAAATACAAACAATTATACAAATATTCAGATTGTGTAATTACCAATTTACACATTATTCAGCACACCAGGTGAACTTTTTCTTTATTCATATCGCTACAATGCATCTCACCAAATGGAAGATAAAAAAAGACTTATTTTGTTTTTTAGGTTATTTTATTTTTTTGCACTCAACACACCCCCGATGGAATTAGCTGTGGATGAGGTAAGAAGCTTCAGGTGTACAGTTGGGTCCGGACAGGATGGATGGTGAGCGGTAACAACGGGTTGATGTCATGTATCGACAAAATACTAGAAGGCCACAATCATGACTTGATCGTTTTTTAAAAACTAAAATCTGAAAAGACTCGAGTCGGACTGAACTACTTCACCACACAGGGAACTGGAGATGAACATACTGAATGCATATAAGACTAACAGCTCTCAGCTGCCAACACATGGTCCTTGTCCAGCTCGGTGAATGCACACGATGCCGACGCAGAAATGAATTTCCAAATGATATGCATCAACTACATAAAGGCTTCCAAACAGAAATGCACATGTGCAGTGTTCTTTGGATAAAAATTCACCTTTAGAGCTTGACTCAATAGAAATGACACAATTTAGACCTTAAGACTTGATCGAGGCCCGGCCCCCTTAAAGCCCTGCTGGGATCCCCACATTCAGCATGGTGCATTAGCCAAGTTCAAATTAAAATCTAAACTAAGGAGCCAAAACCTTCTCAGCTCCGACCATAAAAACATGACGTCAGGAGGAAGTGGAGGATGGCTACCGAAACTGTTCCAACGCCTAAACTGCACACGTTTGGCATCAGATGCCAGAATGTTCAAAAGGAAAAAAAAGGTGACTTGAGTTTCACATAAAAACTTAAAAAAACAAAACAAAAACAAATGCATATTAAAAAAGGTTTGACAAATCTTGTATAAAAATTTGCATAAGAAGGCATGCGTTCCACCGGACTGAGTGGACAGATGTTGCTAATTGGGTCTAAGTCTGTCCGTCAGGGTGCAGGTTAGTTTGTTCGTACCAAATGCACACAGGCTCCGGCTCACGTGACCTGATTTAGCAAACTCATCCCTCTTCCGAAACACAAGAAGAACCACAGCACAGACGGAATGATGGACGAGGGAAAACAAAAAGAGCTCCCGAGTCCTGACTCAGGACCAGTCAGGGAAAACTAGGAACTCAAATCCAGAGCCAGATTCATGACTGCGATTCTGCTGTCGGGTCCCATTTTTAGACTAATAATACTGGTCAAACCAAAAGTGCATCACAAAACAACTGGCTGTCACACCGCACAAAAGATCAATCAACAGTCCCTCTTTGGAGCATTTTATTGGCCGCTGAGCGCCAGGTTTTCAGCCAACTACCTCTGAGCTTCCCCAGCGCCTGCAGCGATATTTTCCCCCCTAATGGTAAGAGTTAATCACGTAAAAAAGGAAAATAAAAGACATTTAAGGCAACTCCTATTATTAACAACAACAAAACACTATCTGGTCAATCTAAACGCCATAATATGAAATGTAGTTTCAACTCGCATCGACTTCTGGCAGCCTGAGGTGAAGGGACCGGGTTTGTGCTCCGGAGTTTGAAGGAGCTTGGTGGGATGGGACAGTCCAGAGGACGGCGGGTCGGGTCGGGTTGGGAGGGAGGATCATCTGGAGGGTTAGTAAGGTTCTACAAGTCACAGTGCAAGTCAAGAGACAAATATTATCTGCTGTTTGAAGAAAGGCACTCGAGGTACCTACTGTACAGAGGGAAAGGTCCAGTTTGTCTGGAACACAAGTTTGGGTGTGTTCAAAGAAAAACTTGTTGAGTGAAGAGAGTGAAAGACTGCGCTGCTCTATCCATGAGTGAACACAGGCCGACATGTTGAAAGAAGAAGAACGTCCACCCGAGTAAGCCGACAAAGAACAAAACACACAACGAATGGACTTCATAAGGAACCGGGGACGTTTAAGTTGCCGTTTTCTTTTGGATTGCATCCCTGGCCAGTCTCTTCCGTCCACGTTCGAATGGCTAAACTCTCCATTAGACACAAATTACATTTATCAGACAGCACTGTGGCCAAACGTGTGGAAATGTTACAGAGATTTCCTCTGCTTTCTTTTTCTGGGATCTTCTGAATGAAGGCAGTTTGTACAGCTGATGTCAGATAATCATGTGTCAGATATGCTGATTCAGTTACAAGAGTCCGTATGATATGAAAAAATGACACCAGTAACAGCTTATTTCACAGTCGCCCAACAACATATTCAACCCCACCATCACGTGCATGTTTACGATGCTATTGGAGGTCTGTGCAGAAAGAGGCATCAATATTATTTTATTGTTTAAGAATTTCCTCCTGCACCGTGAGAGCTCTGTTTAGCTTAACTAAATGCTAATATCAGCATGCTAACACGCTGATTTTTACCACATAGAATGTTCACCATCTTAGTTTAGCGTGTTAGCATGCTAACATTAGCTAATTAGCAGTAAACACAGCGTACAGCTGAGGCTGATGGGAATGTCATCAGTATTTGGACACATTAACATGTTGATCTGATGATGGCGCTAGATGGGAAGTCAGAGGACCACCAGAGTTCAGTACAGTTCATCCTGAGGGGACATGAACCACGTTTTGAGCCAACCAGTGGAGGAGGAGATATTTCACAGGATGAATGAAAACTTGTTGACCCTGACGGAAATACGGACACTGCATTCCCTAGAATTCTCTCATCGGGGCGAATAAGTTGTTGGACGAATAAAAATGTGAGCAAAACTCTGCAATATTGCAAAAAAGAAAGAAAGAAAGAAATTCCAGCACAACCAGCGAGTTAAAGAGCAGACCAGAGTTTGTTAATGCCCCGTACCCAACAAGCCAGAAGTCATGATCAGTTCACCAGACAAAGACAGACCCGAACTGACAGCCACCAAGCCAACACATAACAGCATCACGTTGCAGCCCAGACATGCTCCAGAAAGAAAAGAGATGTGTGAGGGGATGAAGGGCTTTCTGAGACAGAAGCCCAGCAATTCCTCCCGAAAATATGAACTAGACTTGAGCATTGATGTCAGACAGAGGTTTGTATTTCCTCCTAGAAAAATATTGGCAATGTGGGGATAAGTCACATCACAACAAAGAGATGCATACTCTGTTTAATTCCATATTAACATACAAAAAGCTCTTCAGCACTTCTTTGTAATGCAGCAAGCTTGTGCTTTAATCTCAGGATTTGTGGTATTGTCCTGTGAGATCCACCTGAAGGAGCAGGTTCACACAACAAATCCTTCCATTTCAAGGAACAAAAAGTTCCTTTAATGTTATTGTTTAATAAGCTCTCCTGTCTCAATCTGGGGACGTCCAATTTCTGAAATGGTAGCTTCTAAATCTTACAACGCCAATGATTTGATCTTTCAATACAGTAAGTGGACTTGTCCCTGCTGAATTTGGATACAACATCATTTTGGCAGTTCAGGATTCAACAGAAATGTACTTAATGCAAAGATCACCACTTCAAAAAGAGGATTCCTTTTTGTGTTGATAATGCCAGTCCAGCAGGTTCAGGAACAGAAAGCACTTATTCTGAAGACTAGGAAGACCTGAATATCTTTTCCTATAAAAAAGAAACACAGCCCAGATAGTTTGTGTGTGTTGACATTGCAATATTGCAATTTCACATTTAGTGCTCACAGTTGACACACTTGACTCACGAATGAAAAACTCAATCACTACACTTGACCGACACCACTGATAACATCTGTTAGGCTACCGCGCCTGTTCGACCTCGTCCTCCGTACCTGCTGAACACGACGCTCAGCGTCTTTTCTGCCTGAGCTCAGGGATTCGAGTAGGGAAAGAGATGGGGGAGGGGGTTCCGTCATTGGCCAGCTGGGAGAGGGTGGAGTCTTCAGTTAACTGGGTTTGGGTTGTTAGGTTTGAGTTTTGGTCACTAGGAAAGGTTATTGGTTGATAGGACAGGTTGGGTTTTTTGTTAAATGAACACGGTTAAAGTCGTAGGTTGATTTGGACGTTAGAGACGTTAGTTTAAAGGCATCAGTACGCTTCAAACAACAGATCGCCAAACAGCGTCTGAATCTCGTGTCCCGACAAACTGGGTCGGGGCTGCATCTGTCAGATTGCACAAACTGGTTTGTTTGAGCCCATTTGGGATTAGGAGGGCGGGGTCGTTAGTTCGCTGGTGGACCTAAATTTGACTTTTAGTCACAAGGGGAAGGTTACCGCTACTGGTCGATAGGAAAGGTTGTGTTTTTCTGCTGACGGAAGAAGACTTCAGACGCAGGTTGATGGAGGGGTCAATGTAAAGGTGTCAGTATGCTGCAAACAAAGCAGGTAACTTTCCAAAACCAGCAATTCAAACATCACATTTAACACAGCGATTGGCCGGTTGAGAGGTTTGAACTTTACTCTCGAGGTGTCTTTTTTGTTTGACTTCGTTCGAGGAGACGTTCTGACAGTGAGAATGACCGGCCAGCCTTCGAGTGTGGCCTTTTGAACAGCTTTAAACACTTTGGCCTTAACATGTGTTCACACGACACACAGTAAGACCTTTTGTTTGGAGCGTCCTGAACCTTTTTTGGGGGTTTGACAGGGAGGACACAGCGGATTGGTGGTGGACCAGGGAAGGGAAGGTTACCGGTTTGTGCTGGCTGAAGATGGTTTAAGTTGTTGGTTAAAGGGGAAGTCAGGAAAGTCTGTTTTGGATGGGCAGAGGTAGGGGTTAGGGGTTAGGTAAGACTTATTGGTTAAGGTTTGGGGTGATTCAAAGGTTAGAGGAGATTATGGGGAACTGCAGAAGTTAAAGGTTGTTCACATTAAGTTCGTTGGGACGAGGAGATGAACAGGTTCTCTTTTCAGTACGCATACTCTATCACAACACTGCTTTTTAGACCCCTGACAGATGTTTGGTTCCATGTTCTCGGTTTTCTCTGTACCCATGTGAACCGTCTCCCCACCCCACAAGAGAACACAGGGGCCACTAGAACAGGCACACACTGGTGTGATGATGAATTAAATCTCCCTTTGAGCATTCCCACCACTGACGTCTATCACTAATTGGCATGATGACACTGGAACGTAAGCCCTCCCGTACCCCAGCGCTGTGGGCGGGGCGGCCTACGTCTTCCCAGAGTCATGTGACTTGGGCTGTATATCTACCATTGACACAGTCTGACAATACAATGCAAACAAACAACATTTATACAGATTGGCAACTTCAGGGCACCGTACGGTGCAAGCAAGAGTCTTTTTTTTTAATATATATGTTTGAATTCCCACAACTCAAGAGACGTAGCATTACTCTTTATTGTCCAAACTGCTGACAAGAGCTGGCAAAGAATGCTGGGAGGGTTCTGAGGTTTTGCTGTTGTTGGTGTTGCTGCCGTCACTGTCAGTGAGCTCCTCCTGCGTCTTCTCCACCGCTGTCTCTGGAGGGTGGACGGCAGTCATCTTGTTCTCAGAGTTGGTGGTGGTGCAGCCTCCTGCGGGGCTGCGGTCAGGGCAGGCCGACTCGGCCGTGCCGTTGGTGGTGGCAACAGTCGCGACCACTGAGGAAGTGGGAATGTCAACCGCCAGAGCTGCCGCAGTCTCAGGCTTGGTCACAACCTCCACCTGGAGACCAGTCCCTGTGTCACCCCGTCCCCCTGCTCCAACACCAGGCCCTGCCTTACCCCCTGCCGCTACGCCGGGGCAGTTATCTGCTGTTAGGACTACGCTGTCTTCTAGGACAGCCTGGCTGCTGGAGTCTCCTCCTACTGCTCCTGTCGTCTGGTTGTTCCCTGCGGTCCCGTGTTCCTCTTGTTTGTCGTTCACATCAGTGCTGCCGCTGGCCGAGGAGCTCCCGGCCTTCGCTTTCTCTGCAGAGTTGGCTTCTGGTGCGGCTTCAGAGCCGACTGCTCCTTCAGCGCCGTCCTGGACTCTCGCACTGCCGTCCTTGCCCTCTGTCTCTGCCAGGGCTTGGTTGAAATTGAAGGCTTGGATGAGGCGAATCAGGTGTTTGACTTTTTCCAGGGAGAGCTGCATGTCCTTCTGACGAGCCAGGATGGTGTTTTTGGTCTCCATGCATTTCTGATGGAAGAAGAACATCAGGCACCAGATGTTATTCAGGGAACTAGCAAAAATGATTTAGAAAGAAATTACTGATCTCCTCGAGAGACACACGTGGCTTTTCATTATAATCTCAGGGTTTTTCCTGCATAGAGAAAGTTTGGCGACCCCCCAAAGAGGTTTTAGCAAGTGCCAAAGGAAAGTCACCAGCGCCAAAATGATCAGAACAAATATTAAATTAATTACCATTTATCAAACAACTGTTGAACAAGTAGAACACAAACTTAAATACAACGTCTTGTCTTCCAGCAGTCAGCTCTCCTCTCATCCACAGCGCTTTATTTTACACCTGCAGCTGGATTAATAAACCAGCTTGGTTTGCGTTGGTTTGACTGCGCCTGAACGCTCCGCTACGAAGCTCGCGCTAATGACTTCCTGTTATCTCTCACAATATAAAAGCAGTTTGTGCTTGCAGTGTGCCGGTATTCACCGGTGACATTTTGCGGGCTGAAAAGAGAAACAAACGTTTTGAGCCGACACCAGGCTGAAAAGCTGATTTGGCTGTGGTCAGAAATGTGATGTTGCACTTATAACAGTAATGTCACGGGCTCCTACACCTGTACACCACTGCAGCAAGGCGAGAAGATAAACCACTGGAGGCAGACAAAAAACAAGATTTTCAGGGAGTAAGATATTGTTTAATATAATTATATAATAGTCAATAAAGATTTCTTTGAATGCTCCGAGGGAGGTAGAAGTTTGTTTGTTAGCAATAAAACAGGGCAGAAACGATCAACGGTTCTGCTGAAACGTCTGAGGTGCTGGTGTTTATCGACCAGGGAGCTGGGAAGATGTGAACAGCACGGAATGCTAATGTTGCAGAAAAGAACTGGAGGTAAACTTTTTACTGTACAGACTGTTAACTTGATAGCGAGCGTTGCGTTGCCATGGCACATTTAGACTCCGTTCATAACTTTACGCAGACGCTTTGACAAAAAAGGCGCTGACTGTGGGGAATCCACTCGTGGTTCTGCTTCAACTGTACGAAAGTTTCTGACATAAAAGAAATTCATCCGCCGGCAGTTCGGGAGCGATTATTTGGCCCGACTCTAAAATGAGTCGTGCGGCTCGAATATCTGGACGAAACGGGCTGAAGTCAGTGTAAACCCAGCTTGATGTTCACCGCCTGCAGCCACAACACGAGAAGAGCAGCAGAGGATATGAACTGTTGAATAACAAGTCACCTCTCAGCAGATGCTTTCTCCTACCGGAGGCCCTGATTCAGAACTATTAAGTTGGTAAACTATTTTCTGATAGACATGAAAGTTTAACTGAGGTCATGTTTCAGAAGGGGGGATAGTTTCAAGTTGTTCTTAAAGCAGCGTTGCTAGTTGAGTTTTAGTCTTTGAGACTTTGTCCCGACTTTCGTCTCCATGATGCCAGGCGAGGGGCGTGGTCTAAGGAAGATGTCATATCCAGTTTAAATTAGTTCTGTTTTTTCTGTAAAGCCTCACCTTTATTTTTATTTTTTAACACGTGGTTTTCTTTAGCTTTTGTTAACGATCATACCCTTGCACCTGACGCAAAGATGTGTGTTTCTGAACCTAAGTTGGACCTGGAGGACAGAAAACCAGTCCATTCATTTAATAATTGACAACCAATCGATTCATGTAGTCTGAGGCCCATGAACTGAACGTCAATTTCGGCATTTGGTAGAACTAACGTCAATAAAACTCATTCAACGGTCAACGCCAGCCGAACACGTGCGACTCTGGAGATTTGTTAGCCTCTGAGTTTAGTGAATCAGGGTGTTTTATCAACCTGAAACGGGATCAAAAAAGAAGCTGTATGATTGTGTTTCTTACCGTTATGGAGTTGCTGAGCTGTTTGACTCTCTGTTCCAGCTGCTCTCGCTCCAGCTTCAGCTCAGAACTCCATTTCATCAGCTTCTGTTTCTCCTCTTCTTTAGCTGCAGCGATAAAACACAACACAGTTCATGTCACTGCTGCACCGTCTACATTTCCCCGGCAGACGTCGGAGAGAAGAAAATAATCTAACGTCACCTTCTTTGTAAGCGATGTAGGAATGAACAATAGCCAGTGTGCCGGGCCAGGGAATGGCTTCTTCTTTTTTCAGGATCTGCAGAGAGAAGCTCGGAGTTGTCACAGAGGCTGAGACTCGGAACAGATTTTGAGGAAGACAAATTTAGCCGCCACCCTGTGGTGAGGCCGGAGAAGGGACAAGCAATGGGGTGAATGGGTGTGAGATGCCAATCTTTACTGACACAATGAATGGGACAGAAGCACAGAAAACAATACTGCATCATGTATATGCTTACAAAGGATTGAACAGTCCTAAAGTTCAGGACAGTGTGGCAGAAGGCCGGTCAGCAGAAGCAGTTTTACAGTCAAGTACAGCTACTGGCCCTGAGAGGCCCCTCTCTGGACTGCGGTACCCCCTTCCCCCTGACTCAGGATCAGTCACGGCTGCTGCGGTTACCTGATCTTGACATTTTGGACAGATCCACATGCCTTTAGGAATGGTTTTCAGGGGTGGATCCAGGCAGTCCAGGTGATAAACACGAGAACACGTGTCGCACATGAGCAACTGGCCACTGCGTCTGCACACAGTGCAGAAATCCTCATGGATGTCTCCCTGTGAGGAAGAATTGGACCAATCAGTTTCCCCGCCCAACTGAGCCCCACCAACCATCTGTGGAGAGCCAAGGCAGGGGGAGGCACCGTGATCTGGTTTGGTTTAGTATACAGTTGGCCTTGTTTCAACATCTAATGGTCATGGTGTGTTAAATAACTGAGCCCACAGAGAAGTTACTGGACATCTGGGAGTTAGAATGTGTTTTGGGTAGTAGTTATTCATGGATGCTCTGGGCTACAGGACTCTGTTCACTTTGTAAGGCTGAGAGTAAAACTGATGACTGATGGTTATCACATGGAGACAACAAACTGATGGAAATGTTTGTGGAGGTCTTGGGGTGCAAATGAGTGACAGAGCTACTGGGCCAATAGGACTGTGTGTGACCGGGTTTCCAACCCTCTGAACTGTCCGTCTCCCCCATCGTTACTTACATCCCCAGAGCTGGGGCTGGGCAGGGGGAGGGGATGGACGGGGCTGGAGGGGGAGGTCGGGGTGAGGCTGCCCAGCTCCGGGACGCTGCTGTATTTGGGTGGGCGACCTGGGTGAAATGAGACAGACAACAAAGACGGAAAACAAAGAAAAAAGAAAGATGGAGAGGGGGGAAGAAAACAAAAACAAACAGTCTGTATGACATACCTTGGAAAGGGAGTCTTCGTTGGCTAGCATGAGACAGGGGAGCGGTAAGGGAGGAAGAGGAGGAGTCAGAAGCACAGACAGCAGTGTTAGTGCAGGAGACTGGCTCCGTGCGAGCTGAAGCCGAGCACTACTACAACCTAGTGCACACATCTGTGTCAGACGTTAACACGCCTGTCCACGTTCAAGTTTTAAAGTCTGTCACCAGGGCGGTAGGCGGGGTTTAGAAACACTCAGGTCACCCCCCCCCCCCCGATGTTAATTAGTTTTATTCACTAGTTATAATCCAGGAGCCGGTAGCAAAGTATGAAACTTTAGCCTTTATTTCTCCTTAGCTAAGGAATTTACTAAAGGGTGTTGCACAGAATCCCTTAAGATGTTAGTAGTAAAGTAGTAAAATTCTACTGTTACCATGGAGACTGTTTGTTTGCACCATACTTGACCTGTTGTTACCGTCCAAAGTTGGAAAGAAAAGAAGACAAAAAAACCCAAATTGGTCAGACGAAGAAAATATCGTACTGCTGGAGGATCAACTTTGATCTGCAAATAACAGAAAACGACAAAAGTGGGAGGAAAATCGCTTCGAAAATTAATTCAGATCCAAAATAAGAATGACAACTTGTCTGTTCTTGCCAAAAAAAGAGACTAATTATAAAAGGGAACCCAATAAAACTGGTAAGAGTAACTTCAGTTAGCTAGCTAGCGATAAATTTGACAGCCTTCTCATTTTGCCCATCATTTAGCGTATCTATTGGATTCTCCCGGTCCTCTTCTCAGGATAACGTTTCTTCATTTATCACCATAAACTCAACCATGTTCCAGTTAAGATAAAGCCGGAGGCACCTTAAATTCTTTTCCTTAGTTTGGTTGCTGAGGTCTTTTGTGCAACGGTTTAACACACTTAAGGGATTCCTTAAGTATAAGACCAAGATAAGGAGAAAACCTCAAATGCTTAAGTGAACATTTTAAGGAAACCTTAAAGAGAACATATAAGGGTGTTTTGTGCAACCAAATGTATTTTAAGGAAACCTTAACTCAATCTTAACTTAAGGCTTTTTGTGCAACCGGTCAATTGTCATCATCATATGATGATGATCCTTTAAATGAGTGTTTTTAATAGAACTGTGACTTACAGATATTTCGCACTAAGCTGCTGCAGTTTTAGCAGATATATCGCGACATGGACTACTTATTTAGCTCTAATGTTTGTTCTACATTCCCCAAAGTAAGGTCTTACTTATTATTTTTAATGTTTGATTTGAAAGTAATCACAGCCTCTAAGAAAGGTTTTTATCTGACCCGTGTAAACTCCCCCGGTGTTTCTAAAACCCTGTGTCTTGCAGCCCTCTGATGACAGCACACGTTGAAGCTTCTGCAGTGAGAACATCTGACACAGAGAGTTACACAACTTTCATTCTTTTCTCCCGAGAACACGTGAAGTCAGATGGAGGTTGAGCTGAGGGTATTTAGAGTCAGAAGTTAAACCTCATTCATTAAACAGCCTGGAAAGTGGAAGCTTCTTGGATTCAATTTTAGTAAATTGAGGTGTGAAGTCATTAGAGCTGATTCACGTTAGTCGCGTTATTTATTAGAGTCGTGCGACCATTCACACGAGTCACTGAGAGCCACTCAGCTTTAAATCCACTCCGGTCTCTTTCATTCACGTCGTTAACTTGTGATCAACAACACCTGGTTTAGGAGTGAATCTGAGGACTCAACCGGTCTCAGGTGCTTCTGTAAATAGGGCTGAAAGATTAATCCAAATTCTATCAGAATCACAATATGAGCTGCTGCTGTTAAGTGCAATATTTGTTAAAGCTGATGTGTGTGTGAAATTATTTTAAATTAACTGGTGCTGCAGAGGCGTCCCGGCCCGCACATCATATTCTACAGACGTAAGAAACAATAGTTATTGTCAGTCATTCTCTCCAATATTTCAGTCGAAATTAGATATTTTTTTCAAAACTACACTTCCCAGGATGCCTTTCGACAATTCACAGGGAAAAGAACAGGTGTGAAGGTTCAACCGGATTTATACTTCTTCATCAAGGTGATCCAGAGGTCAGCTCGGGCTGCAGCTGCGTTTACATTAAAATCTATAAAATGAATGTAAAATGAAGGATTTGTTTAGGATGATCTGAAACACAGAAAAGCAGCTAATCATCACATCTGCCTACGCTTTCATAAAGTTCTTGGATTCACCTGAACATGTCCACTCCCGCTTTTATTAAGTCTTTATTATATCGCCTCAGTAATCACGTTTAGATTCTTAATTTGCTTCCTGGCAGGGGGCCGACGCTCTTTGTTAATAAGTCCATGAAATAATCCTGAAGCAGCCCGAGCTGAAATATCTCTTGTAATGTGAGGTGGTTCTTTGAGTCTGACAAGTTTAAATCCGGCTTTAGACATTAAACCCGACTGAAGCGACAGGAAACAGAAAGAAGGAAAGAGGGAAGACTTGTTTAACAGCATGTTATTAGTACTGAGTCAGATATTAGTCTCTGCTGGACTGGATCTCTCCAGCCTCGATAAAACTGCACACAGTCTTTTTCTACATTCATACATTCCTTCCCTCCCAACATATCTCCTTCTGCACTGTGATTTACCTGCATTTTAAGGCTCTGCTGCGTCTCTACCTGATTCTCTATCTTTCCCCGTCCCTCTTACTGTATCTGGTCTTTGACCTGTGGATCAGTATTTCATACAGACCTCTCTTCCTGGTCCCCTGGTGCAGAGGGCTGTTCAGGTAACTCACTGCACTCTTTTTCCTCTGAAACAGAAGTGGGAAAAAGACAAATTATTTACTTAATTCATGGGAATAATCCATTTTATTTTGTTAGTTTTGTTCATCCTGACAGCGATCAATAAATCAGATAAATATAATCAATAAATCTGACACGAATATGAAAAACAATCCGGTGTCTCGCTGGGTTCTTTAAACGTTGCCGACTGCAGCTTCAACGTTCAACACAAGTGTTTAAATAATCCGAAAAGCAGCGAATCTCCAGAAGCTGAAACTGGGAATATTTCCTGCAGGTGTCGGAAAGATGTCGATCCCATGTTGATTAATCGCTGTAGCTTTTTCTGATACTGACAAATATTTAAGGAAACCACAGAAGGACAGTGTTGTCTGAACTTTCAACCAGATATTTAGTTCATGTTTACTGTAGAGCCCGACCGACAGGGTTTTCCAAAGTTACTAGCCTCACAGCATTTTCCAGCCACAATTTTGTTGTTGGTAAATTACGTTTCATTTTATTAAAAGTTGCCTATGGCGTGCTAAAATGTACTAATATTATCATTAGCTCTGATAAGGTTGTGTGTAAAGCTCTTTTTTTAGTCCCTTAAGATAACCACATTAAAAGAGCAGCTTCTTATTGTGTATAATAAAAGTGCTGCATGTGTGTAGAAGATGAATAGAAAAGATAAAAACTAAACTGCACTAGGCTAAATACTGTAATACAGAGTAGAAAAATTATACATTGGAAACAAAGAGCAAAGATCCACAATTAAGGCAACAGGACTAAAATTGAATGTAGGTCTATATCAGTATCTGCATTTCCTCAGAGCTCTGCTTGGATTTATGTTTCTCATCACGACGCTCTGGAAGCTCTGAGTGACTGGAGATACGTCCACCTGAAACGAGTACACTGGTCTTTATTTTCCAGATTATTCCCATACAAACTACTTCCCTACAGGGCACGGCTACTTGTATTAAAACATAGAATCAACTCAGGAAAGGTAGTTCTGATATGCTAGTGGTCGTTTTCTTTTTTAAACACCACCATGAAGATATCTGCATTTTTACAGCATTTAACGGCCCTTTCCTCCTGCCTTTTCTTTTTCCATCATTCTCCTGTGCATTTTTTCCACACACTGACTGACCGCCGTGTTGACGTGTGCGTGAATGCGACCAGTCGCGTGTGACAGGTCTGAGGGACTGTGGCTGCCCTGTGACAGGTTCAACTTTATATTCTAGACGCGCTTGTTTGGTGGATTCCCCTGCAATAAAAAAAAGCTTGCTTTGTCATCGCTGCCGCTGGTTAAGTTGATAATTAACGGCAGAGTTTAATCTCCACAACTTCTTCTTGTTTGCGGTGTCGTCGGACAGGACAACAGGCTTCACTATTGGACCAATGACCAAACACTATGTGCAGGTAGTTACTCATGGGAGTCGTAAGTCACACTGCAATTCATTTCAGATGTATTTTGACTACAATTTTTCAACACAGTGGCTAGTAGGAGTGACTGTTACACGCCACAGCTGTAATCCACCCGCATCTGGCGGGTGTTAATGTCAAGCCCTGCCGACCGATGTGGGATTTTTAAGACCGATACTGATTTTGATATTTGTCATCTCTTTTCTAATCGTCATTCATCGGCTGTTAAAAAAACAGAATGCTGAGTTATCTGCAACTAAGTCTAAGAAATTCTACACCTTCCTGTCCTGTTGCTTCATGTTTCTATTTATTCTCAAGCGTTTCATCTGATTGGTCTGCTTTTTTATTGCAGCACCTTGTTCAACATTGCTTGTTTTTAAATGTGCTCATAACGGCCGATTATTTCGGCACGCTGATTTATCAGCCGAGCTCGTACCTCGGGTTCAAACACGGCGCCGCTGTACACCGGGTTGGCCGTCGTTCTTCTCTTCCTCTCCTGCCTTTTGCTCTGGATTTCTACAATCAGAACAGAAAGTGTTAACGCAGAAACCTCCAGCATCAGGACGATCCTCCGGTAACAGTCACTCACCTTCCAAGTGGTCGTGTGTTACGAGACCCAAGGACACCATGAAGGCCAGTTTCTAAAAGAGAGAAATTAAAGAGTTAATCACCAGAACCGCCAGCGACGCTGAATCCCATCATGCATCAGTCTGCAGTACCTCTGGGCTCTCCTCTTTCTTGGGTCTGGCAGGAGGAGACAGTGGAGGAGTGGAGGAAGAGGGGAGGCTGACGACGGCCTTCTGCTCGGGTTTAACAGTCTGCTGAGAGGACAGAGGAACCAATGAGCAGAGAGCCACAGACAGGAAGTCAGACAGTACTGTGTGACGGACGGTCGGCTCGTTGTTTGAGTCTGAACATGAGATCTACAGACAACTACAAGAAAAATATAAGGCCATAAGTTTGCACATTTTTAAAACACGAGAGTCTTGGAGAGTCAGAAACCTGCACAAATAATTTGGTTTATTTCCAGTTCCAACTTAAACATAAATGTGTAGTTAAGAGTATTTAATCATTACAATAAGATTAAAGTCCAAAAACAATAATACTGAATTATTATTGTTCAGCCTTACTTCAGACAGCACGGCCAATGATTCTCATGGCTGATGATTAATTGAATGTGATTTGTGATACTTTTGGGACGAAGAATTGAAAGTCTGAAAAAGAAACGATGCTGCTGGACTGAGTTAGATCAGATCTTAAGCTGCATGAACTGCTCCCGACTCCTCGGCTTCTTATTATAAAGTGTTTATTAGCTGCACATTTTCTCGTTCTCTCTTCTTTGTTCAGGTTTGATTTCATTTTCTGTACTTTACAGGGTTGTTATATAGCTGATGAAACTAACTGTTGTGCTGTATTGTATGTATACAGTATATAGTAAAATCAATATAGCAGGTTGTGTTTATTTGTTTGTCGTTCAGAGTTCATCATTGTTAATGTGTTTAGGTTAATCTGCAGGATGAAGGTCTTCACTACGTCATAATGAGAGGTTTAAAAAGCAAAGAGAGTCTGAGAGAGATAAAATCCCTCTGACTGCTTCCAGCAGCATGTTGTCACAGTGCAGGACTCAGGTAGAACTCTCACCTTGGGCTCAGTGGTCAGGCTGCTGATCTGGATCGGCTGGGCAGGAGCCGGGGTGGGGATAGGGGTGGGGTTGGGGGCCTGGGCGGGGCTGGCGAGGCGGGTGGGGGCGGCGGTGACCGGCGTGGTGATGACGATGCCTGTCAGCGGGGTCTTACCGCAGGGCTGACCGTTAACGATACGGACCTGGTGGATGGGAGCCGCCGAGGTCAGCGAGGACGACAGCTTGGTAGCCAACATGACGGGCCTCTGGAGAAGCTGGGGGGCTGCCATCATGGGCGGGGGAGGGGCCGGGGCGATGGGGACGTTGGTGGGTGTGGCCGGTTTTGGCCTGACCTGGTAACAACAGACAACCAATCAGAAAAGGACCTGACGCTGCTGGGTAACGCCACTGTGGAGCTCTGTCTCAGGCTGACTGCTCTACTACTAATACTTGTACTAATACTATAGATTCTGTTACTATCACTGATTCTACTGCTGCTTCTGCTACTACTGCAACAGATACTATTAATGATTACTACTGTTTCAACCCAACTCCAGTACAAATACTACTACTAAAACTCCTGTATCTACTACTTAACTACTACTAAGGATCCTGCTACTAATTTCAAAGTGTGTAACTTTACATATTTGTGTGCTTAAGTTAAAATCTTTTGAAATAAAGTGATGATGCCTGGGGTCAGGCGCTGACTGTGTAGCACCTGACTAATAATCACAAGTATTGATACTACTAATCACAAACTACACAGCAACACTTTTGTTTTTGCCCCCATTCATCATGAGCTGATCTAAGACGTTCTTTATGTTCACAAAAGGCCTATTTCTCTCAAATATTGTTCAAAAATCAGTCAAAATCTGTGTTAGTGAGCACTTCTCCTTTGCTGAGATAATCCATCCACCTCACATGTGTGGCATATCAAGATGCTGATCAGACAGCATGGGGATTGCACAGGTGGGCCTTAGGCTGGCCACAATAAAAGGCCACCCCAAAATGTTCGTTACCATCACACAACACTATGCCACAGATGTTGCAGGCTTTGAGGGAGCGTATAGTTGGCATGCTGACTGCAGGAATGTCCAACAGAGCTGTTGCCCGTGAATTGAATGTTTTCTCCTCCATAAGCCGTCTCCAAAGGCATTTCAGAGAATTTGGCAGTACATCCAACCGGCCTCACTACTGCAGACCACGTGTAACCACACCAGCCCAGAACCTCCACATCCAGCATCTTCACCTCCAAGATGGTCTGAGACCAGCCACCCGGACAGCTGCTGCAACAATCGGTTTGTATAACCAAAGAATTTCTACACAAACTGTCAGGAACCGTCTCATCTGTATGCTTGTCGTCCTCATCGGGGTCCCGACCTGACTGCAACTTCGCACAGCCATTGAAGAGGAGTGGACCAACACTCCACAGGCCACAATCAACAACCTGATCAACTCTATGTGAAGGAGATGTGTTGCACTGGGTGAGGCAAATGGTGGTCACACCAGATACTGACTGGTTTCCAAACCCCCCCCCCCAATACAGTGAAACTGCACATGTTGGAGTGGCCTTTTATTGTGGCCAGCCTAAGGCCTTTTACTGTGACCAGCCTAAGGCACACCTGTGCAATACCCATGCTGTCTGATCAGCGTCTTGATATGCCACACCTGTGAGGTAGATGGATTATCTCGGCAAAGGAGAAGTGCTCACTAACAGATTTTGAAAGGTTTGTAAACAGTATTTGAGAGAAATAGTCCTTTTGTGTACATAGAGAAAGTCTTAGATCTTTGAGTTCAGCTCATGATGAATGGGGGCAAAAACAAGTGTTGCCTTTTATAATTTTGTTCAGTGTATATTACTAAACACATGTAGGATTCTTATATTGTACCAGAACATGTTTCTTCTTAAAAAAAAAAGTAACAACAATATCTGCATTGGTTTACAGAGACATCTGTCACATTCGTGCTTCTCTAACAAACTTTAAACTATCCTCTATGATGGAAAGTCAAACACATACTATACATACAACTATGAACTGGGACAGACTGGTTTCCAGTAAAATAAGCCACAATACAAACTAAAGTTTGAGACACTCACTCTTTTAAAGTTTCGTTGCTGATGTTTTTAATGTTTGAGATATTTAAACTTTTTTATTGCAAGTCTTCACTGAGACTGCTCCTATTTCTACTAATATTACTTTAACTAATACTGTCAATACTACAGTGAATTTACTCCTGCTACTGATGCTACTGTTATTACATATCACTATGACGGCTGAAACTGTAATGGACTTGGAGTGAACTTTACTTAATACCCCGTCCCCCATTTATTATTATGTTGTTCTTTCTTGTGACTGCAGATGAAAATGAGCTTTAAATGAACTCTGGTAAATCAGATATATAGTACATGGTCCCTTTCCAAATAAAATAAATACATTATCTACTTCATTTTCTTCTATTTTACGTTTCTCTTGGGCAGCTAGATCGTATGATCACAGCAGGGCAGGTACATCTGAGAGGGACAGAAAGGATTGTTAAGTTCAATGTACCTGAAAACCCCTAACATCACAGTCAAGACCAAGACCTCCACCCTATTATGTATAACGTAACTTGTGTGCTGCCCCTGTTGTCCCGGTTTATTTTAGTTCATTTATTTTGTGGTTATGTTCTACTAAAGCAACTAAATAACGTTTATGGATACGAACTACAGCAGTGTTGTTGCTTCTACATCCAAGTACTAATACTACTGCTTGCTACTACCAAGTGCTAAAGCTGTTATTACTGATAGTAATCCCACTATCGAACTGGTCAGAGCTCCCAGTGGCACCAACATCACCGATACGTTTCCACTTAAAGGGTTACAACACACCGACAGCCAGAAACACAAAATACCAAGAAGCTGCAGGAAAAAACAAGCTCTCACCACAAAAGGTAAACACACACTCACACGTTCACAGGCAGGAAACCTTCAAAACAACCCGTTCACAGGTCAGTAGGAAAATCAAAAAAAGCACAACGAGAGGAGAAGAGATGAGTAGAGGCAGCACAGAGCAAACAATGTTTTAGTGCCACGGAGCAAGGCATGAGTGTTTGCTTTGGTGTACTACTGCCCTCTGCTGGGAGAGTGAGCGAGTCACCTCATGTGGGCCCACAAACACTGATCTGAGGGGGTTAGGGTTTGGAGGCGGGTCTTACAGGGACGCACCTGTGGCTGAAAGGTGGGTCGAGGCATCAGTCTAGGAGGAGGGACAAACTGAGGAACTTTGATTGGCTGGGCGGTGGTGGTGGCCTGCACCTGAGACAAAACCACAGCAGATGTGGATCTGTGCTGCTGTTACACTGACAGGTCTGCTGCTCTTATACGGAAACGTCTGCTGCTCTTACACGTTCTGCTGCTCTTATACGGAAACGTCTGCTGCTCTTACACGTTCTGCTGCTCTTATACTGAAACGTCTGCTGCTCTTACACGTTCTGCTGCTCTTATACTGACACGTTCTGCTGCTCTTATACTGAAACGTTCTGCTGCTCTTATACTGACACGTCTGCTGCTCTTATACTGACACGTCTGCTGCTCTTATACTGACACGTCTGCTGCTCTTACACGTTCTGCTGCTCTTATACTGACACGTCCTGCTGCTCTTATACTGACACGTCTGCTGCTCTTATACTGAAACGTCTGCTGCTCTTATACTGACACGTTCTGCTGCTCTTATACTGACACGTTCTGCTGCTCTTATACTGACACGTTCTGCTGCTCTTATACTGAAACGTCTGCTGCTCTTATTCTGACACGTCTGCTGCTCTTATACTGACACGTCTGCTGCTCTTATACTGAAACGTCTGCTGCTCTTATACTGACACGTTCTGCTGTTCTTATACTGAAACGTTCTGCTGCTCTTATACTGAAACGTTCTGCTGCTCTTATACTGAAACGTTCTGCTGCTCTTACACGTTCTGCTGCTCTTATACTGACACGTCTACTGCTCTTATACTGAAACGTTCTGCTGCTCTTATACTGAAACGTTCTGCTGCTCTTATACTGAAACGTTCTGCTGCTCTTATACTGACACGTTCTGCTGCTCTTATTCTGACACGTTCTGCTGCTCTTATTCTGACACGTCTGCTGCTCTTATTCTGACACGTTCTGCTGCTCTTATACTGAAACGTTCTGCTGCTCTTATACTGAAACGTTCTGCTGCTCTTATACTGAAACGTCTGCTGCTCTTATTCTGACACGTTCTGCTGCTCTTATACTGAAACGTCTGCTGCTCTTATTCTGACACGTTCTGCTGCTCTTATACTGAAACGTCTGCTGCTCTTATTCTGACACGTTCTGCTGCTCTTATTCTGACACGTTCTGCTGCTCTTATACTGAAACGTCTGCTGCTCTTATTCTGACACGTTCTGCTGCTCTTATACTGAAACGTCTGCTGCTCTTATTCTGACACGTTCTGCTGCTCTTATACTGAAACGTCTGCTGCTCTTATTCTGACACGTTCTGCTGCTCTTATACTGAAACGTCTGCTGCTCTTATTCTGACACGTTCTGCTGCTCTTATACTGAAACGTCTGCTGCTCTTATTCTGACACGTCTGCTGCTCTTAAACTGAAACATCTGCTGCTCTTATTCTGACACGTCTGCTGCTCTTAAACTGAAACATCTGCTGCTCTTATTCTGACACGTCTGCTGCTCTTAAACTGAAACATCTGCTGCTCTTATACTGACACGTTCTGCTGCTCTTATACTGAAACGTTCTGCTGCTCTTACACGTTCTGCTGCTCTTACACGTTCTGCTGCTCTTACACGTTCTGCTGCTCTTATACTGAAACGTCTGCTGCTCTTACACGTTCTGCTGCTCTTATACTGACACGTCTGCTGCTCTTACACGTTCTGCTGCTCTTATACTGACACGTTCTGCTGCTCTTATACTGAAACGTTCTGCTGCTCTTATACTGAAATGTTCTGCTGCTCTTACACGTTCTGCTGCTCTTATACTGAAATGTTCTGCTGCTCTTACACGTTCTGCTGCTCTTATTCTGACACGTTCTGCTGCTCTTATACTGAAACGTCTGCTGCTCTTATACTGACACGTTCTGCTGCTCTTATACTGAAACGTCTGCTGCTCTTATTCTGACACGTTCTGCTGCTCTTATACTGACACGTTCTGCTGCTCTTATACTGAAACGTCTGCTGCTCTTATTCTGACACGTTCTGCTGCTCTTATACTGAAACGTCTGCTGCTCTTATTCTGACACGTTCTGCTGCTCTTATTCTGACACGTTCTGCTGCTCTTATACTGAAACGTCTGCTGCTCTTATTCTGACACGTTCTGCTGCTCTTATACTGAAACGTCTGCTGCTCTTATTCTGACACGTTCTGCTGCTCTTATACTGAAACGTCTGCTGCTCTTATTCTGACACGTTCTGCTGCTCTTATACTGAAACGTCTGCTGCTCTTATTCTGACACGTTCTGCTGCTCTTATACTGAAACGTCTGCTGCTCTTATTCTGACACGTTCTGCTGCTCTTATACTGAAACGTCTGCTGCTCTTATTCTGACACGTCTGCTGCTCTTAAACTGAAACATCTGCTGCTCTTATACTGACACGTTCTGCTGCTCTTATACTGAAACGTTCTGCTGCTCTTACACGTTCTGCTGCTCTGACACGTTCTGCTGCTCTTATACTGAAACGTTCTGCTGCTCTTATACTGACACGTCTGCTGCTCTTATACTGAAACGTTCTGCTGCTCTTATACTGAAACGTTCTGCTGCTCTTACACTGAAACGTCTGCTGCTCTTACACTGAAACGTCTGCTGCTCTTATACTCACACGTTCTGCTGCTCTTATACTCACACGTTCTGCTGCTCTTATACTCACACGTTCTGCTGCTCTTATACTCACACGTTCTGCTGCTCTTACACGTTCTGCTGCTCTTATACTGAAATGTTCTGCTGCTCTTACACGTTCTGCTGCTCTTATACTGAAATGTTCTGCTGCTCTTACACGTTCTGCTGTTCTTATACTGAAACGTCTGCTGCTCTTACACGTTCTGCTGCTCTTACACGTTCTGCTGCTCTTACACGTTCTGCTGCTCTTATACTGACACGTTCTGCTGCTCTTATACTGAAACGTTCTGCTGCTCTTACATGTTCTGCTGCTCTTATACTGAAACGTCTGCTGCTCTTATACTGACACGTTCTGCTGCTCTTATACTGAAACGTTCTGCTGCTCTTACATGTTCTGCTGCTCTTATACTGAAACGTCTGCTGCTCTTATACTGAAACGTTCTGCTGCTCTGACACGTTCTGCTGCTTTTATACTGACACGTCTGCTGCTCTGACACGTTCTGCTGCTCTTATACTGAAACGTCTGCTGCTCTTACACGTTTTGCTGCTCTTATACTGAAACGTCTGCTGCTTTTACACGTTCTGCTGCTCTTATACTGAAACGTCTGCTGCTTTTATACTCACACGTTCTGCTGCTCTTATACTGAAACGTCTGCTGCTCTTACACGTTTTGCTGCTCTTATACTGAAACGTCTGCTGCTTTTACACGTTTTGCTGCTCTTATACTGAAACGTCTGCTGCTTTTACACGTTTTGCTGCTCTTATACTGACACGTTCTGCTGCTCTTATACTCACACGTTCTGCTGCTCTTACACGTTCTGCTGCCATTTCCCTTTCCTGTATCAACGGGACTGCACTCTATCTGCCACTAACATTACATAACTAAATGTTGCGCATAACAGAAGTTGGGAGAAAGTGAAGCCTTGCACGTCTTCTGCTTCAGATTATACATGAATGGTGTGTCAGTGTTTGTGTTGAAGTAGTGTACGCAGAGCTGCAGAGACACTCTGTATACGTGCTTTGTGTTCATCTGTTCTCAGCAAGCTGCTAACATTAGCTGTCCTGCAAACTAGCTTAGTACCTTCAGCGGTAGCTTAGCATTACGTCCATGTGAGCTACGCAGTCAAACAGTAATGTTAGAAGAAAAAAGACATTATAAGACAAGGACTGGCTAGCTCTACACTGCAGTACAAAACCTATGCTGTCAGCAGAGACAGCGTTTCCGATCGTCTTTAGCCACTTCAATAAAGCTACAGCAGATAGAACGTGCTAGTGTCAGATGTGCTGGTGACGATCACCGTCTATAAATAAGAATCTGCTTTTGTGCTTCTTCTGTGAGAATCAAGGATCCATTACTTAAAAATACACAAATTTTGCTAGTAACTCTGCCACAGTTCTCGTTGTAGACTGTATTTATGCACATCAATCCTCCATCTCTTTTCGCGAGGACAAGTGGATGACTTATGCTGTGCTACTTTCTGGTGTGACCAGACACTTCCATACTCAGGACGTTGTGATTTCAGGACTTTAGACCTATACTACACCTCCTCTGTTGCTTTACATGAACATGTGGCTATATAAGATAAATTGGCCCTATATGACTGTTTGACTTGTCAGAGAACTGCTACTGGTGCTGTCAGCTTGGCTGCTATAAGGCCACCACTCACGCCACAACCTGCTCAGACACTTGCCATGTGATTAGAGAAACATCCTGCTATCAAAAAGCTCGTCTACATTCAGTAGCTCTCCTCAGCTCTACAGATGACAACACATACTGTACAATAAGTCAGATTAGAGGAAGGTATGATGATGCACAGCGCCAGGAACCGGAGGGTCTTACCATCATGGTGTTCTTGGATACCAGTCGCACGGGCTCCGAGCTCTGATTGGTCAGCTTACTGGCCACCTGCAGATTGATGGGGGCGTTCTGTGAGTCGGGTTTGGTGATAGCTGTGGTGACCATAGTGACAGTGGCTGGGCGTTGTGGCAGGACAGATCCAGGCAAGGTGGGCGTGGCGGCAGCTTTCAGCACCAGAGGTAGAGTCTTCGTGGTGAGGACCGGTGTGACTGTCAGGGTCTGTTGAGGGAGAATAAAACCCATGACACAGAGCAAGAAAGTTTTACGATGAACTGTTGTTATTCCTCGTGTGTAAACACACCGTCATCACGCCTGCTTTAACTCCCTACGTTTCAGATTGTGTCTGAAGATTCATCCAGCTCACAGTTCTCTAAGGAAAGCTAAAACCAAGGGCAACTGGACTTGGTTGAAGAAACTCCAAGAGGCCTCTTCAGTTCTGACTGGCAGGGAGTCGTAGCTATTTAATCTTTGTGGGGTCGTTATCAAGGTGATGGATACCGCTTGGTTCGTTAGTGCTCCTGGCTGTCATGGTCGTTGGAGTCACCCCAGGCCAGATGTAAGTGGAGAAGCTTTGTAGGTGGAGGATAAGTGGTCTCAGATCTCCTCCCCTGTTGAGAGATGGTTTCTCTTCTCTGGTGTAAATAGCTTCTTTCACTCCTCCTGAACACCATCTATCCTTCAAGTATCTTCAACCAAGTCTAGTTGCCCTTGATTTTAACTGTCCTTGGTTTCCCAGATTGCAAATTGATAAAATAAATCAAATTACTGTTCTGTTGTGTAACTTCTGTTTTTAGAAGAGAGAAACCTGTTGCAAGGTCTCACAATCCTTCTTTTGAGTCTTTTTTGTGAAGCGTAATTCAAACGCTTCCAAGTTTACACAATTAAACAGCAATTTAATCAATTATCAGGTCAGATGTGTTGACCACACATTCCATTTTACCTCTTTTTACTCTTTACTCCAACTGTGTCAGATATTAGCATGCTAATGTTAGCTTCGTCTGTTGGTTCAGTGCAACTTATTTAGTTATTAATTCAAATAAACTCCACTTAGTAAACTGTTATGTAAGTAGTTAAGGTTTGAGCAGCTGGTGCTGCAGGCTGCAGGCTGCAGGTGAGTCTGTGCTGTTGTAAGTGAAGTAGGTGACGTTGTGCTGGTTGTTTAAGTGTTTTCATTTAAAAAAAACAACAACATTATTTTCTCATATAATGTAGACGCTTTTCTCTAAATGTAAATGATAAACTTGAATTAAGTTCACTGCGGTGTAATATTAAATCTACATTCAGAGAGAGGAGGTAGATTCGTCCTTGGATTTGTTAAGCCGTTGTGTTTCCCACCTGCTGCAGTGCTCCAGGTATCTGCTGGCTCTGCAGCAGGTTGGTCGGCTTGATGTCGACGCCTCCTGGAGGAGTTTGGACGTGCAGCTGCAGCTTTGCCTCTGGCTCCTGCTTCACCAACAGCTCCTTCCTCAGCTGCTCCACCACCTTCTTCTGCAGGAGGAGGAGAGAGAAGAAGAGTACCGTTACAGTAACGTACAGCTGGAAGTAACACGTAATAAAATATCTCTCCATGTCTGTTTTCATTCTGCTGTTTGCAGTTCAGAGGAGGCAGCGAGCTTGTTGTTCTCCGGTGTTCCTACAAGAACCCCCCGGAACACTGCAGCACAGACTGATCTATACTCTGAAGGTCTGCGTGGTGAAAGCTGCTCCTCAGATCTGCTGCGTCAGCTGTTTGTAAAACATACAGCCTGAGCATTTGTCTGCAAACCCACAGCAGGAGAATCTCACCGGTGACTCTTATGAAAAGGTCGATAATCAATAACTGCTGCAGCCCTGCTCCAATCACTGCTCTGATCTGACTGGCTGCCACTCACTGAGAGACGGGAGAGATTAATAGAAGAAGAAACGAGAGTGTAATGTAGAGTACAGAAGCAGAGGCACACAAAGCTGGAGCTGACCAATCAGAAACAAAAGATAAAGCCCATCTGTTGATTAGCATCCCCTCAGAGAGACGCCTGAGATCCAGACTGAGAAAGTGCCCTGTTCCCCTTTCAGAGAGCAGCCTGACCTGCAGCCTGCAGTTAATAACGTGCACGGCTTTATCTGCTGCTGCTGCTGAGGGCGCTTCATCGCTCAGGATCAGCTCACCCACATCACACAAAACACACAGATTTTAACCTCTGGTGTTATCAAGACATGAAGACGGTTACATCTGAAGATCTGTTTTAACAGAAACAATAAGGACTGCTTCAATACCATAAGACAAATTCCTTTAAGCGTCCTTGCAGCCAGCAGAAGACAAAAAGGTTTAAGATAGAGGAGGAAACTACAGCATGCCTGTTTTACCTTAGTTCACACCATCATTTGAACATCAGGAGTTTGCTGGTTTATCTGTCATCTAAACTGGGATCAGACAGATTTCCACATGCAGCGGATCCGCTCGACCAATCACAGCCGTTTATCTGATAAGGGGCAGGTTTGATAAGAGACATTTTCGTAAACAACCAAGATGGCTGCCGCTCATGTTGGGCAGGTTTATTTTCTCCACCATTAGAACAAATACGAGGACATTAGAACACCTGCAGCTCTTCAGGTGTCGCAGAGATTTGTTGGGGAAAAGTTTTTAATAACCAACAAAGTTTTTTTTTTTTAAATGCTTCACAGGTTTTACCCACCTAACCTGCAAAAACTGTAACGCTGGTATTCATTTTGGTGTTGCGCACATACCAAGAAACTTTGGAGCAGATTGTCGCAATTTGTTGCCGTTCTATTTACACTCAGTCTGCAATACGTTGGGAAAATGTTAAACATTACTCTTTATTGTTAAGTCAAGGTCTTGAAAGAGAATTAAAATAAGCCAGGCTTTCCGGGGTGAGCTGTCAATATATTCTTTCCACGTCTAAGTGTAGAAATGAAAAAGCTTTTAAATCATATGACCTCTGTAAGCTTTACAAAACATTTATTTGAATCTTTTTTGCTTTTGTTTTGGTTTTATTTCCCCTTGACCTCCCCGGCTTCTTTGTGATTCGTGTTTGGAGACTCAATAGATGTACAGAAGATGTTGTTTACCTGCTTCACGCTCGTGTTTATGAAAAAACAGCCTCACATAAAGCTTTCGTTGAAGATGTGATTGACTGTAGTTCAGTAAAACTGTGTCCAGAGGCAGGTTGACACCCTCTGGAAATAAGAAATGACCTGAGGGCAACGCAGTACGCTATGATGATGAGGTGTGTGGTAACACTGTCACACAGCTACTGCAGCACCAGCTGTTCCAACACACAACTCCCTCCGAGTTCACAAGCTGAGTTTGTGTAGCAGGCGGAGGTGCTGGTGGGTGTGTTCTTCCCTGTGAACAGAGCCAGGCTAACAGGCTAACCACATCTTGCCTTCCGCTCAGTATTTAACACACAGACATGAGACCGAGTTCCACATGAACATCTAACTCTAAGGACCCGTTCACACCTGGAAGTCTGCACCGAGGTCCAAACCAAAGTTCAGGTTTTGATACATTCGGGTAGTTTGGTTTTATATTGCAATCGTGCGAGCTCACTAAAGAACTTTACATGACAGACTCGTGTTCTGTCGTCGTCCCCTCTGTGGGCCGTTTCTCCCTATACTTGACACTGACTTGTTTGTAAACGGACGTGTGTCTGACGTCAGCGTGTTGTCAGTTCGGCGGGGAGCTTTGACAAGATTGAATGAATGAAAAATGAACAGATTCCTTTTGTTGCCACTGTATTGTTATTATTATTCTTCTTATTATCGCGTTGCTACCTGCAGCAATTCACCAAACGAACGTCCTCGTTGTGGGAACATTATATCGCCGCCGCCGGCAGGAAAGGAGAAGAAGACGGCAAGCTATCCTTGTAGCCGGCGGAGGTTTCACACCTGTAATTTTGTCTGAAACGTCCAGACCAAACGAGGCAGGTGTGAACGCCTCCAAAGAAAAAACACAAATATGTTGAGATGTGTTAAAATGTGTGTTTAAACCCTCTTTAATTCTTATTCTAAGACGTCTGCGTGTTTGAGACAGGAACATTACAGCTGCAGACAGGAGGGAGCCGTACTGTCATTTGTCTTCAGTAAGTCGCTGCGATAAAGGCTTTCAGCCATTAACATCATTCTCCTGCTTGTAAGCAGAGCACAAACCCAACTTTCTATTTTTACTGATAATCTCAGCGAGTTTCAAAAACAACATTCGGAGACATCCACCTGCATCTGTTCACCTCACCGAGCCCATTAGTGTCCTCAACAGCAGCTTTTAACAAAGAAAGGCACTAACTCTTATTCTGCGACTAGTTGTTCTAATTCTTACCTGGAAGCAGCACAAAGTGTTTCACAGGAAGACATGAAAACAGTGAAATGTGTAGGGAGGAGATAAAAATAGGAAGCTGGCAGAAAGTGGTTAAAAATAAAGACAAAAAAAACCAACACAACAACAACAGAAGCTTTAGAGTCTTTAGTCGAGAGGTAAAAGAAAAAGATGTTCCTGTGGTTGGTGGTGAAACTCTAGACTCTGGTTCTCCGTTAAAACAATTCTAGCACGCCCAAATGTAGGTTAAAATCATTATTATTAGTAGTTTAGTTTCACGTGCTAAGATATCTTTTCATTTTGGAAATACTACGTGCTTCATCCAGCCAGAGGGAACGACCACCGACCGTCCGCAGCGTGCCCGATCGCTCCGCGATCTCCCGTCTCTCCGATACCTACAACGGGTTGTGTCACTGCTACGACCGGCGCACTGTGAACAGTTGGTGGTCGTTCCCTCTGGCTGGATGGATTTTACGCGTGATTCGTGCACTGCTGCAGCTGGGGGCTCTCCGCAGCACCACGATAAATACTTCCATCTCACGGAGAAAAGAAGTCAGGTTAAAACCAAATTTGCTTTATTGGCATGAATGTTAAAACAACAGTGTTGCCAAAGCTAAAGGGAAAATACAAAGAAACTATTCAATTCATGCGATTTAATGAATACAATAAAATAATTGTATTTCTATATATTGGATATAGAATTATTTTATGTCCGTGAGAGAGCCATCGCACACTTGATGATTTGACAGTGAGTCGGCACTCGGGAACTTATCGGGAACACGCCTCAAAGTCTGTGGGCCCGTCCACACGACTCTGTTTTAGTTGAAAAACAGAGAATTAAAACGAATCCGATCTCCGTCCTCACCAGGTTTTAGCTGCATATCAGAGCACTACATTAAAACGACTGAAGACGCCGTTCACGTACGCTGGGCACGTGTGTGCCGTTGTAAACATGAAGCAGACGGTCTGTTCTGTAGTTACAGAAGATTTGGTGAAAGAATAAAGTACTGCAGACGAAGAACCGCACCAGATTTTATTTTGCATGGACCAATAACGAGACTGTTACTGAATGTAACACAGGAGTTAAAAGCGGAAAACAGACTGCTGTCGCAAAGTAAATACGGCGCCATGCACAGTACAAGTGTAGGCTGCAAGTGTTATTTGCATGGTAAAAACACCAAATCAAAAACTGTCAGCAGCATCGTGTATCTGAGAGAGCCGAGCGTGAGCGTCTGCGTCATCGTTTCCTAAGGGGTCAGCAGCGTTTTCAAACTTCTACATTTTAGGTCTTTGTTTTCGCCGTTTTAGTCTGGACGGGAGGAGCAGACGTAGAAAAACCGTTTTAAAACCAAAGCGCAGTAGAGTGGGTGGAGCCTGTGAGTCTGTGAGTGTGGACACTGGGATTGGGCCGTTCTCCTGACCGTCAGAGTCAAAAATCCAACTTAGTGGAAATTTCTGACTTGGAACTTGTAAATTCCAACTTGTCATGTCAAACAGAACGCAGCATACATAAGATCAGGAGCGACACGGAAATATGAACCTAATTAGGAACCAATTAACAGAATCTAAATCCACGGTTCTAATTCGGAAGATCCAACCCTTTTGATGTTAGAATCTCAGAGAAGGAACGTTTCCAGCGACCAGGATCCCTTTCAGCAGGTGTGGGAGCTCTTGTTTATTTAAAACAGACCTGAGCAGCCACTTCCTCCTTTCACCTCTGAGACTTCGTGCCTCCTGAAGACAGATCCGTCTGCCGAGAGCCTCATTACCAGAAACACACTGGAAACCAGCTCTGTGTGTGTGTGTGTGTGTGTGTTACAGGTGAAGTAACGTACCTGCTTCTCACTGAGCGCTGTGATCTTCGCTTGAAGTTCGTGGAGCTGCTTCTTCAGATCTGCGTTCTGAAAACAAGAGCAAGTGAGCCGGCGCCAAACAAACTCATGTAAAAGAGCGGAGTCGTCTTCTTCTTCTTCTTCTTCTTCTTCTTGTATCAGCGATAACGCACACAAACCTTTGGATGTAAACTGGTGTAAACTCACTGTGGCGCACAGTTACTTATACTTCTGTAAAGTAAATGGTTTACCTGAGGGTCCTGCTTCATCTGGGCAACCAGTTTCTGCAGAAGAAGACAAGAGACAGTCAGAAAAAACACATCACAGTGACACCTGCTGGTCACAACTAGGAACTACACCCAGACGGCTGCGCTTGTTTAATCAGGGTGCAGAACAAAAGTCCATGAAGTGAATAAAGGGATTAATGTAGGTGTTATATCAGAGCAGGACGCTCCACCTCCAGTGTTAAAGCCTCGGAAACATTAAATTTAGTATTTTCTCAATCTGCTTCTCAGCGTGGTCGATTGGATCCGACGTTTTCTGTTAAAGTTTTGATCGATTTCTGTCAGTGCTGTTTTATTGTTGTTCCTGAGCTCTTCTTCTTCTACTCACAGGTTTTTATTTCCCACATATTTAAAAACCTCAACAGTTTACAGGATTCAAAACAAGGGTCTCAAAACAAAAGTGAAAGTGAACACTGTGTTCTCTAGGGTTTGTAAAAACACTTCATCACGGTTCCCACTCTTTTCTACAGATCACATTTTCAGCTGGTTTGACAGACAGGGATCACGTCGTACACTAAAATTTTCCTTTCTGCAGAAGTCTAATTATAAATACGAGCAGTCTGAGGCTGTAACTTATCTGTGAAATCATCTATCGCTGTTGCTTTTTTCCCTTTTTCTGTTTATGTCTTGCCTTGTTTTAATGTTATTGTATTTGTTTTGTTCTCTTGGAAAGTCCTTTGAGTTCTATGCTTGGCTTAGAAAAAACTGAATATTCTCAACACAAATTGACAGATTATAGATAGATTTTGTCTACTAACAAATCCCAGCACTCTGTTGAACATCTCTGTGATCCTGAGCCTAAATGTATGTACGTCAGAGCACTTTCACTACGTCACCCTTTATTTAAACTTCTTTAAACTACTTTAAACGATCTTGGTGTATTGATATGAAAGTGTAATACGGTCAAAAACTGGGACAAATTCTCAGGTTTGCAAATATCTATTCAATTCATTGTTTTGACCTCGGCTTCCTCTTCATTCTTATCCAACTTTCTCATCAATAACATATGTGAAACCATGGCTCCGAGTCACAAACACAAACCTTCGCAGGCAAATCAAACAAGCGAGCACGTCAACTTCAGCAACTGAACCAAACATGTTTAACATTATTCAACCGTTTATAACAAGTCGAGAAGAAAATGTTCATCTAGAAACCCAATAAAAACAGTCAGCAGCCAGCAGGGACTAATATTTACCACCTCTGGAGGACAATCAAACTTACATTATTCAGAGTTTTATCCAATCTGTGCTGCATCTGACGTGACTCAAGGGTGCAACATATTACTTGAGTGATTTTCCAGGACATTTTACTTTCTTTTCATTTTCCAGTTTTTCCAGGACGTGTTGGAAATCTATCATACATGCAACACATGTACTGGCCTGGATCCTGAGCTGCGATGAGCTATAGCACAGGTGCAACATTTAAAATAACAGAAGAAGAAGGAGGGACGTGGTCTGACAGCAGTTCATCAAATCAAGCCCACTAATCTTTAGGTTCACATTTGTAACTAAAGGATAAAATAACTCGCAGATGTTGGATCAGCTGTTGTTCTCCGAGCAGCAGAAAACATGAAGCGTTGACGAAATGTTTCTGATCAGAGTCACCACGCTGTTGTACAAAGCGACGCGCTGGGCTCGTTAAAACCTCGACCGGAGAGTGGACGAGGTCGTGAGGAAGTGACGGGCAGTTTGTACAGGAAGTCACAGAAACACTCACTTCCTGTTAGACCAGATCCCAACTTAATAAAATGTAATCAGCTTAATTTCACTTAATCAGACGGGCTCGGACAGCGCAGGCATAATCTTTGTCAGAGAGTTGGTGAGGGACTAGCGGCCAAAACGGCGGCTGTAACACAGTGGATCAGTATATTTGACGAAACGACTCCTTTTACTTACTTTATCAGAATATGATCCATTAGGTCGGTAACATTTGAAAAGGCTACACCAGCCACACGTTTAAAATTTTACCCCCATTCACGTTAGCGGAGCGCTAAACCGGAAGTTAGCCTGCTGTAGCGCTAACGCCGCCTAGCGTTTCTGGGACACACAAGTATAAATGGGCCTTAAGTGTCTTGCTCAGGGACACATCGGTGTCTCACAGCGGATTCGAACCCGGGTCTCTCACACCAAAGGCATGAGTCTTTTCCACTGCTCCATCACCACCCAGCAATACCTTCTCAGCTGAACTGAAGGTGGAGATGACGCTTTGTTTATTTGCCACAGGACAAACGCAGCAATGATGATTTAGGCCCGTCACAACCATCAATAAGCCGATTTGTCATGGAAACAATTACGGCTCTTACAGCTCGGCACACTGTCACGCGGTTCATCAACTCCCCAACAAACCCCGTGTAATCCAACACAAGTCGCAGCATATAAAGATCAGTGCTCCCAGCGTAGAACGTTTATGTGAACAGGAAGCTGTGTTTGATGCAGACATTTTGGATGTGGTGGCCAAATGGCCCGGCTCTACCCATGACACGTGGCTATTGAATGAAAGTGGCCTGAAGCAGCAGTGTGAAAGGCTCTTTGTGCCGCTCAGTCTCATCCAATAGGAAATCAAGGACAATGTACTCTGTTGAAAGTTCTTTATTGTCAAACGTGTATTTTAAAGAGAATATTCTTAAGGAAATTTATTCAGTGATTGGTCCTTGCCTATGTCATCATTGAAAATCCTATTTGCGGCACAAAGTGTCGCGAATCAGATCCGAGACTGACAGTGATTTAGACTTAACTGACTGCTTGGTAACTAACTTTTAAACGCAGCTTTGAGCCAAGAATCTGTTTACTTTGAAGTCGATTCTTAGCAGTGTTCTTCTGAGTAATTCTGAGGAGCCTCATAAATACGGGCCCTGACACTCACATGACCACACGAGCCACACACGCTACTGCTTAAACAGAGACCGATTGGTCAAATCTTTTGTGGGCAATTAGATTAATCGTGCAGCCCTAATCGTCGCTTCCGTCTAACCGGCTGCTAAGCACGGTGATCGCTGGTGATCGGTTCTGCAGAGCATAAACTTTCCACTTTAGTTGTTACTGAATTAACACCAATTATCCACAGCTGATCTAATATCAACAGGTGCAAACAACAGTCAGAGCCGGCTACAGATTGAAAGCTGCTCCCTGGATGTTTCCCACTGATGTTTGCTGATAAAGAGCGACGATAAGTTTGAAATCAGACTCGTTAGTTAACTATCAGAGCTGATCGAGTAACACACCTGTTCTGAATGGACTAACTCTCCTAACCAAGTGACCTGGAAACACGGCGTACCTGATGGATCTGGATCTCCACCTTCAGAGCCTCCTGTAACGTCTGTAGTTCCATCATGGATCCAGTCAGTCTGCCAGCCGATCGATCAGCCTGCGTGCACATACGGGGGGAGGAGACGGGTCTTCAACAGCGGGTTCAACAGAAATCAGCGGCATTCAGTCATAGCAACATGAAGAACAGCCTTATAAGGACTTCCTGTGTGATGCTGACAATAAAACCTTCCCATCAAGGTCAAACAAGGTCACAGGAAGTCTGTTCAAACCCTCATGGTATCGTACGGTCAAGCTATTACACAGAACATACAGGAGATGTGTTATTGTATTTAATAATCACTACCTGGGCTTTTACCTTAACACCGTCTCCAGTAGGAAAACCATCCACCTGAAGCATTAAAGTGCCGCTAAAACAGAACAAACCACAACAAAACATCACATTTAACTTCAATTCTTCACCATTAAACTGAAGCTTTATCATCAATAAACTGTGCACACAGTAATGCAGCAATAAACACATTAAATGTTGGCGTATTATTAAACTAAAGTATTTAACTACATTAGTATTAGTTATAAAACTATCTCATGTTACAGGTAACTTTACTATATTATTAAAATACGTTCATTGAAACTTATGGTTAATGAAACAAGAACTGTGTCTAAATAAAGTTCATGTTTCTGAATGTTGAAACAAAAACTATGGAAGCCCATTTCCACCACTGTGATGAAAGGAAAAAAAAAGATCCTGTAAGTCATTAGAATGAGTTAGCATCTCAAAATAATAAGAAACCTTCTCAAAAAACTGACTTAGTATTTAAATATTGACTTAGGTCATTATTTAGAGATACTAAGTCATTATTTAAAGATACTAAGTCATTATTTAGAGATACTAACTCATTATTTAAAGATACTAAGTCATTATTTAAAGATACTAAGTCATTATTTAGAGATACTAACTCATTATTGTGAGAAAGTTTCTCATTATAATGACTTAAAGAATCACAGTGGCAGAAATGTACTTCCATAAAAACAGTTGAAATTAATAAAACAGATTTAATTGGGACAAACTACTTGTAGCTAAAACAAGATATTTCTTTATTTCATAATAATCAGAATAAAAGTAATAAGATAACTTTTGCTTCATTATTGATCAATTCCTTGACTTTATTTCTGAATTTATACTATTTATCTTTACTTAATTTAGAAAATTAAAACATATTTACTTATTGACAAGTAAACAAGTCTTTAAAATAAAAGTAAAAGTAAAATTCAGTTACTTTACATCATTATTACTGACTTGACACGGTTTAAATGTGACACTGACTTTTACTACTTTAAATTTAAACAAGTATCTATTATTATCACTTGAAAAAAGTCACAATTATATTTGTCTGGAAAATAAAGACTTTAGTGCTGATTAATTACTTCACACAGTGTAAATGTTTCTGTACTCTGTGATCAAATTCAAACATTATATGTAACTTTTATTAAAGTACAAACTGTGTCTTTACTAACAGGTTAATTTGTCAAATGGGTTGAAAGTAACTTTACTTCATTATTATTATTAAACTATAACAGGTCAATTTAACTTAAAACGTTTAAATGTAATTTTGATGTGAAAAAGGTTACCTTTAATTTTACTCTTAAAACAGATTTTATGTACATTTATTGTGTGATGTGATTATTATTTAATTAAAGCAAGTTACCAATAACTTTAAGACCATCAAACTAAAACATATTAAATGTAACTTTGCCATATTATCACAATAAAACTGCGTATGAAAGTAGATTACCTTTCAATTATTATCATGATTCAAGTTGCACATAAGTTTAATTCACTGATTCACTCTTTATTAATAATAATTAATAAATCAGACGAGAGGACTCACCACCTGGCTGTGGGACTGGACTCCACCCCTCTGTGCTGCCCTGTATCACATAACAAACACACTCTGTTACAAATGTAGCCTCCGATAAACAATTAACAACCTTTTCTTTACATTTTATGGACAAACCAATGAATTGATGAAAACAATCAGCAGATTAATCAATAATGAAAGCTTCTCCTGCTGATGAGAGCATGACTTTTCTATCAGTTCACATGAGAATTGATCTTGTTTCTCGTCAAGTGATTGTGTCACTTCTGTTGTCTGATTTTACTACAGACTAGTGTTATTTCTGTAAAGACCAATTCTACTTTCCCCAGTTTTATTCTTATAAAGTAATTCACTTTCACTACCAATTATATTATTGACACTCGAGTTTCCCTGTGTGGGATCAATCAAATTAATTGAATCCTAAGGAATCAATCAAGAGTTTATTCTTTAGCAAACAGACTCTTGTCTGAACTCATCAGCCAAAAAATTACTTTTTTGCACAAGTAAAAGAGCATAAAGCAAAACACAAAGGTTACAGGAGTGGGTAAAAACATTGAATATCCATTTCCACCTCATTATTCAGACTAATCTTTCAAAACAGTTTTTTTCATCACTTAACTTTTACTAATAACCCAAACTATTAACCGTCCATTTGAACTTAACATGTGTTCACAAATGTTCTAAAAAAATCCTGTTATTTGAGAACAAATATAATCCAGTAGACTCTAGGGTTGGATATCAAGAACCATTACCAAATTACCAAGAACCGTGGATTCATTAAGACCCGTGCATTTTGATTCTGCCTCTCGGTTCCTAACTTTCTGCTTCAGCTCCTGATTGATGAGCAGTGAGCATTTTACAGACAATATAGTGTCTCTTATCTGCCAGGACCTGCTACGCCAAACTAACGTTAGGTCATTTGTTACGTCAACAAAGCAGGAAGACTGCTGTTCGGGACTGTTTTCAGTCCTGGACTATGGCGGACCGCAGAAAACGCTCCAAAGTTTGGCTTAGCTTCACTTAAAAAGAGAACGCCACAGCAAAATGCAACAGCTGCAGTAAGGAGGTCTGGTGTGAGGGAGGAAGCAGCTCCAACACGCTCAGCTCAGGTACAAAACACAGGTGAGCTGATATTCACCTTTTATACTGAAGGGAAAGGAATGATGTCTACAACTGATTCCACTACTTTATACTTAAATTTATACAGTCAGTCAACTACTTTATATATGTGTAGCTAGTTTTAACCACTTTATATATGTGTAGCTAGTTTTAACCACTTTATATATATGTAGCTAGTTTTAACCACTTTATATATGTGTAGCTAGTTTTAACCACTTTATATATGTGTAGCTAGTTTTAACCACTTTATATATATGTAGCTAGTTTTAACCACTTTATATATAGTAGCTAGTTTTAACCACTTTATATATGTGTAGCTAGTTTTAACCACTTTATATATGTGTAGCTAGTTTTAACCACTTTATATATGTAGCTAGTTTTAACCACTTTATATATGTAGCTAGTTTTAACCACTTTATATATGTGTAGCTAGTTTTAACCACTTTATATATGTGTAGCTAGTTTTAACCACTTTATATATGTGTAGCTAGTTTTAACCACTTTATATATATGTAGCTAGTTTTAACCACTTTATATATATGTAGCTAGTTTTAACCACTTTACATACAGTTAGCTAGTTTTAACTACTTTATATTAGGGATGTCACAATACCAAAAATGTAGTAGTTGATATCAGTAAAATTCCCCAATTCCCGATACCAATTTGATACCATTGTAAAAAAACCATAAACAATAAATCCCATGTACCTCAACAAACACTCTTATAAAAACATCTGAACATGACAGAGAACAACTAACAGCTGTGAAAGCTGTGAGAGGATGTCCAGGACAGATAAGAGGTAGTTTTACGTCAATATATTCATAAATAAGCAAACTGTTGAAATTACAACCTTGCACTGTAGCAGTTCAAACAGCATCGTCATCTTTGGTGATTTTCAGGTGATCAAACTGTGAAATATCTGCCTCAATTATCTCCAATACCTCCCAGAACCAGGCTTTGACATGGAGCTGTTGAAGGAAACTTCTTTATATACAGTTAGCTAGTTTTTCCTTCTTTATATAAAGTTAACTAGTTTCAACTACTTTATATACACTTAGCTAGTTTTAACTTAATTTAGAGTAAGCTCATTTTAATTTCTTTGTATACATTTAGCTAGGTTCAACTTCTGCATATACAGTTAGCTAGTTTTAGCTGAATAATATAGTTAGCTAGTTTTAACTGTTTTATATAAAGTTAGCTAGTTTTAACTACTTTAAATACAGTTAGCTGGTTATAACTACTTTATATACAGTTAGCTAGTTTTAACTACTTGTTTATACAGTTAACTAGGTTTACCTTCTTTATAAAGTTAGCTGACTTTAATTTCTTTAGGGTTAACTAGTGTTAACATACTTTACTTTATATACAGTTAGCTAATTTAAACTACTTTATATTTTACTAGTTTTAACTACTTTATATACAGTTAGCTAGTTTTAACTCATTTATTTTAAGTTAGCAAGTTTAAACTTTTTTATATACGGATAACTAGTTTTAACTACTTAATACACTGTTAGCCTGTTTAGTCCAGTGGTTACCAACATAGGGGTTGGGCCCCTCAAAAGGGCCACCAGATTAATCTGCCAGATGATTAATGGGAGGAAAGAAGAAGAAACAAAAGTTGTGATACACAAATCTGTTTTTAGTTTTTGGACTTGTTTAACCTTTAACAGGTTTTATGTAAAATTTAAAATGAATATAATCTAGTCAGTTACATGTAGTGGAGTAGAAATATGAAGTGGCAGAAAATGGAAATACTCCGGTAAAGTACAAGTAGGCTACCTCATCATTATACTTAAGTAAAGGACTTGTAAAAGTACTTTCCAGCACTGCCTGACCAAGAGAAAGAAAGACAAACCAAATAACACTGCATTCATGAGTAAACATCATAACACAGGTTATACATCCTGAGCCTGGCCTCTATGACAAACTCCAGGTGCTACTGATGTTTTAGAGCTGATTTGGTGAATCTTAAAACAAATATACTCTTATAAAAACTATATATGTATCTCTGTAAGACAAAAAGGTTGGAAACCACTGGTTTAATCTTTAATAGGTTGTTCTGTTTTATGTATGTTTATGTGAAATCTAAAATAAATATAATATACTCAATTAAATGTAGTGGAGTAGAAATATGAAGTAACAGAAAACGGAAATACTCAGGTAAAGTCCAAATAGACGACCTCATCATTACACTAAAGTACAGAACTTGTGTAAAAGTACTTTCCACCACAAACAAACCAAATAACACTGCATTCATGAGTAAACAACATAACACAGGTTATATATCCTGAGCCTGGCCTCTATGCAAAACTCCAGGTGCTACTGATGTTTTAGAGCTGATTTGGTGAATCTTAAAAACAAATATACTGCTTTAAAAACTAACTGGAGTCCCTCGCAGTGTTCCTGTACATCAGTGGCCCCACAGTATGTAAAGGCTCCCTGCGTGGGACACGAAGTTGTCTGGATAAACTTCCATCAGCATCACATGCCGCTGCAGAGGCCCCAAATAAAAAGGAAGAAGTTAGCTAATTAGCTAGTTTTAACTGTTTTATATACACACAACTGGTTTTAATTTTATAAACAGACAACTATTTTTAAATGTCTTATGTACATTACATTTACTCATTTGACAGCCACTTTTATCCAAAGCGACCTACATTTTAGGAACAACATAGTCAATACAACAGGAGATCTACAACTGACAATACCTAGTTAGTAAGGGCAGCAACAAATACTACAAATAACTAGTTTTAACTACTTTATATCCAGTTAACTAGCTAAAGAAGAAGAAACAACAAAAGTTCTGATGCACAAATTAGTTTTTAGTTGTTGAAATTTTCTCAAATGTATGTATTTTAGTAAAATATTGGATTCTTTGAACAGTTATTGAAATGAAACCATGTAAGATCTTAAATGAATAAATATATAATCGGAAGACAAAATGGTTGGAAACCACTGGTTTGATCTTAAATAAGTTGTCCTGTTTTAAGTGTTTTAATGTAAAATCTAAAAATAAATATAATAATAATCAGTTGAATGTCGTGGAGTAGAAATATGAAGTAGCAGTAAACGAAAATACTCAAGTAGGCTTCCTCACAATTATGCTTGAGTAAAGGACTTGTGTAAAAGTACTTTCCAGCACTGCCTGACCAAGAGAAAGAAAAACAAGCCAAATAACACCGCATTCATGAGTAAACAACATAACACAGGTTATACATACTGAGCCTGGCCTCTATGACAAACTCCAGGTGTTACTGGTGTTTTACAGCTAATGTGGAGAATCTTAAAAACAAATATACTCTTATAAAAACTAACTGGAGTCCCTCGCAGTGTTCCTGTACATCGGTGGCTCCACAGTATGTAAAGGCTCCCGGTTAATTGGAGTAATTGCTCCCTGGGTGGGACACGAAGTTGTCTGGATAAACTTCCATCAGCATCACATGCCGCTGCAGAGGCCCCGAATAAAAAGGAAGAAATGAAGCTAAAATGGAGGGTTTTCAAGATGAAAGCCGCTAAGTGCTTCAGCTGCGGGAGTTAAAACGCTAAAAAAGTGTGTTTTTTTTGTTTCGGCGTTGAAATAAATGTTTTATAACCTTCTTATTAACCCACTATGGCCGTCTGGATGTTCAATCCCCCCCTTATAAATTCATCGGAGCTGCTTCGCTACGACCTCTCAAACACGGTAAACTAGCAGGTTTGTGGGGGAGTATCAAGTGTTTTTCAGTGTTGGTAAATAAATAAATAAATAAATAACCATCCACACAGACCCTCACACATCCGACATTGCTCCGTGTGAGGCTGTGAAATGTTACCGAGAACAAGTGGATAACGTTAGCTGTAGCCGCTAATGCTAACCATCCTGTTAGCTGCGCTGGCTAACGCGAAGCCACGCTGATAACTTACATCAAAGATAAATAATAAGGTCGTCGCGCCGGCGGTGTGCGAGAAAAGCAAGAGTGGGAATAAAGAAATTCACACAGGAGTAGCCCCTCCAAAAAAAAAGACGCCATCTTTTAGAAAATCCTGACACCGAGCAGGCGTTGGTGGGTCTAAGTTATCTCGGCCCCTTGTCCTCCAGAATATCAACTCCTAGAATAAGAAACACACCAGCTAAACACACAGAAACACAAGAGCAACACACCGCTAAACACCGCCGGCCAGCCCGCACACCTGCCCGCAGAACACCCGCAAACACACGGATACACGCCGACAGCTGCACACAGGTGAAGTTTGACAACAGAGAAAATTAAAGTTATGAAATTAAAAAAGCCCAATGTGCACTTACTCAGCAGCAGTCCTCCTCTAGATTAATTAAATATATATCTCCAAGAAGCCGATCCGCGATGGAATAACAGCACACAAACAGTCCTGCTCACTCCTCCCCGCGGAGCTTTGTTTTGTTGCGCTATTTTATATTTAGTTTTAGCAAAATTTGTGTAAAAACAGAGAAACTGAAGCTACAAAACAAGAAGAACTCTTCTTCAATCTCATTCAGCTCAGCCTCAGCACAGCACAGATCCCTGCGCCTCGGAGCTGGAGGAAGGGGGACAAAAACTACTTACACGTCCAACCGATGCTCGTTTACCGGCGACCGGGCGATCGATGTTTGCGCGTGTTGTTGTTAAAGTTCGTTAAATCGACCCGATCAGCGGCGCGAGGAGCGGAGAAAATGTGTTCGGGGAGCGGACTGCTTTTTGTGTCGGTGCGGCGAATTTATTTCACTTTGCCTAAGGAACGGAGGTGCTGCGACTCCCATTGCCTAGGGAAAAAACCCGGATGTAAACTCAGTGAAACTCTATGGAGAGAAAGTCTGCGCACACACACACACACACACACACACACACACACACACTCCAGGCAACTCAGCAGCGGAGCAGTTTGTTGTGTTACCGACTGTTTGTTCTCCGGTTCTCCTTCATGGATCCAGAGCCGGGCCGTCTGCCCTCCGCCTGCCGCTGCTCAGGCCCCATGTTCGGCTGCTCGCTGCAGGAGCTGCCGCACTGTTGCACTTTGTGGAGGAGGAGGAGGAGGAGGAAGAGGAGGAGGAGGAGGACGGGCGGCCTTTTCCTCACTGCCTCAGTGGCTTCACAGTGTCTATACCTTTACAGACAAATACATCAGTGGCGGAATGTCACCAAGCAAGTCACAAGTACTTCAGTATTACATAACAGTTTTGGTCTCAGATCAGAATATAAATTCTCAAAACTACTTCACATTTATTCACTTGTGCTCACCATTAAAGCATTTCCTCTTTCTTTTAAACAAACTGCAAATGCTTTGACACCTTACCTTTACTCAAGTTCTGTAGGCTACTTAAGTCCAAATTAAAGGTTTTTGTACTTTACTTGAGTATTTTCTTTTCATGCCACTTTCTGCTCCGTCTCAGAGGAAAATCTTGTACTTTTTACTTCACTGCATTTAGCTGACAGCTTCAGTTACTTTGCAAAGTCAGATTTCTACACATGAAGAGTTTATAGAATATGTTTTGTTATAAAATATTATTATTATTATACTCCCCAACAGTTTATACAAGTACTCTGATGTGTTGTTGTATAAGGTCCTGTTTGTGTATTTCAGACCTGTGTTTGTAAAATAATAATAACAAACAACAGAGTTTAAAAAAGTATTGAATTTCCCCTTGCGGGATTAATAAAGTATTATTTATAAATTTAACTGGCAACTATTTTGATAATCATTTAAATCAGTTCATTAAATCATTTTAAATCATTAAATCATTTTTCAAGTAAAACCATTTCAACATTTGCTGCTTCTCCTTTTGATTATTTTAATGTTTTGATTATTTTTAATGTTTGCTGGTTTGGACTGACAGAGCAAACATTGTGAAGGAGTCTCTTTGGTCTCCTCAAACAATATTTTCAGAATGTTTGAAATCAATTAAAGGAGAAAATAATCAGCAGATTAATCCAGAATGGAAATAATGACTAATTGCAGTCTGATACAAAATAGTTCAAACTAAACCAACAACAGTACAATCCTGCTTTTACATTAACACACGAGGAATAATAATCTAATTAAAGATCCCCAATTTATCTCTATTTTTATTCACATCCTTTCACCTACCTCACTTCCTTTAGCTCACTTCCTTTCCTTTCTTTTCTCATCACTGATTGGCTCCTGCTTTCACCTTTCATTCCTCCTCATCGACCTGATTGAGTTCACCTGTTCACAACTTTATTTAAGGGGGCGGCAGTTCTGGTAAGAGAACTTCTATTTACTCTTTAGGTTTATATTATGTTCATGTTTATGGAAAACTTAGTTGTTTATCTTTCCTTATTCCCTTGAGATGGACATGTGAGTTTAGTTTTTAATATTATATTTGCTTTCTTTCAGATTGAACAACTTACGTCTGTCTTTTTTTCCCCTGATTATGTTGATAAATGCATCCTTTAAATTGGAAGAAATAAAACGTTGTTCAGAGGATATTCCAAGTTTCCTGGCTTACTTCTATGCATTCTGACGGATTCCCCCAATGATAATGAGTAAAGGTCCCTTTTGAACCTCCTACTTTATCACATAATACAGGTGCTGGTCATATAATTAGAATATCATCAACAAGTTGATTTATTACAGTAATTACATTCAAATTGTGAATCAAAACCCATTCAAAAATGTGGGGGAGATTCACAAAGAGTGGACTGCAGCTGGAGTCAGTGCTTCAAGAACCACCACGCACAGACGTATGCAAGACATGGGTTTCAGCTGTCGCATTCCTTGTGTCAAGCCACTCTTGAACAAGACACAGCGTCAGAAGCGTCTCGCCTGGGCTAAAGACAAAAAGGACTGGACTGCTGCTGAGTGGTCCAAAGTTATGTTCTCTGGTGAAAGTAAATTTTGCATTTCCTTTGGAAATCAAGGTCCCAGAGTCTGGAGGAAGAGAGGAGAGGCACAGAATCCACGTTGCTTGAAGTCCAGTGTAAAGTTTCCACAGTCAGTGATGGTTTGGGTGCCATGTCATCTGCTGCTGTTGGTCCACTGTGTTTTCTGAGGTCCAAGGTCAACGCAGCCGACTACCAGGAAGTTTTAGAGCACTTCATGCTTCCTGCTGCTGACCAACTTTATGGAGATGCAGATTTCATTTTCCAACAGGACTTGGCACCTGCACACAGTGCCAAAGCTACCAGTACCTGGTTTAAGGACCATGGTGTCCCCTGTTCTTAACTGGCCAGCAAACTGGCCTGACCTTAACCCTATAGAAAATCTATGGGGTATTGTGAAGAGGAAGATGCGATACGCCAGACCCAACAATGAAGACAGAAGAGCTGATGGCCACTATCAGAGCAACCTGTTCTCTCATAACACCTGAGCAGTGCCACAGACTGATCGACTCCATGCCACGCCGCATTGCTGCAGTAATTCAGGCAAAAGGAGCCCCGATTAAGTATTGAGTGCTGTACATGCTCATACTTTTCAAGTTCATACTTTTCAGTTGGCCAACATTTCTAAAAATCCTTTTTTTTTGTATTGGTCTTAAGTAATATTCTAATTTTCGGAGATACTGAATTTGGGATTTTCATTAGTTGTCAGTTTTAATCATCACAATTAAATGAAATAAACATTTGAAATATATCAGTCTGTGTGGAATGAATGAATATAATATCCAAGTTTCACTTTTTGATTGGAATTACTGAAACATATCGACTTTTTGATGATATTCTCATTATATGACCAGCACCTGTATGTGAAAGCAGGGGCTCTGCATAGGGGGGGAAAGTTAGGACAATTCCAAGGGCCCCTGACTGACAGGAGCCCCAAAAGATAGGTAAAAACTAATATAAAATGATATTATTTTATACATTATATAAACTATAGGATAGGCCTGTATATATTTCAAATAATAACAAAATGTATGATCTCTTTGTTTTTGGCAGTAAAAGTAAAATATCCCCATTGACCAAAAAAGTAAACGTCCACATTGACCGACCACCTCCGTGTATCTGCGTGAAATGGTCTGGTCCTGCCTTAGCGCAACTCTCATTAAACTCTAATTAAAGTTGCAAGGCTTTAATTAGAGTTATGTAAAGCTTTTCATGGGACAGTTAGGTCCTAGAGATGTGGTGAAAACTGTGTGTGGTTTTTTGTCATGGGGCCAAAAATTCCTGTATAAAAGTCACAGGACATTTTTATTCTGCACAGAGTACTTTTACTTTCAATACTTTAAGTACCCTTTCCTGATTAAACTCATGTTTACTTAAATAACATTTTTAATGTAGGACTTCTATTAGTAACAGAGTATATTTACAATGAGGTGTTGGTACTGAAGTAAAGGATCTAAGTGCGTCGTCCCCTGCTGCATGTTGATCACAGTGAGAATCCTAGCCTAACGGCGTTTCAGGTTTACATTTCTAACTTTTTCTCGTGACTGTAAAACAGTCTCGTTCTTTTCTGTATCACATTAAAACACAAAGAGTAAAAGTGAAACTGTGAATCCTGTCCGATCTCTCGCAATGTACAGTCGCTGCCATCCAAACCTGAGCTGTAGTTTACATTAGAAAGTATTTACAGAGTGTTATATGACGACGTGGCTGAACCTGTTGACGATCTCGTTTGACTTGTCATTCTGATGCCCTGACATGTTCACTGACATGAAGATTTGCTTTTGAGAGACAGACTGAGGATTCTTAGCGGGTTCCAGGCTTTTGTAATCCAAAAGAAATGGAGGATTGATTTGAAAAATGCACCCAAGCGAAAATGTAAATCAGGAGAAGAACAAACAAGAGAAAAAGTATTTAAGTGCCACTTATACTTTCCCTGAGTATTTCCACTGTACACTCCACCTACACTTCAGAGGACAATATTGAACTTTCTACTGCTCTGTATTTGTCTGACTTTTGGAATTACCACCGTTTTTACCTTTCAGATCATTTCTATATGAAAACACAGGATGAGGGCCACAGTATTTTATTCACATCATGTCCATCCTCACCAAACTGTTCAGTGATGCACCGAGCTTCTAAAGCAACATGTAAAAACAGAAACAGGGGAACAAATTCACATTGTTGTTGTTTTTTTAGTTTTTATAATATATTAAAAAAACATAATAATAAAAAAAAATTGTTTTTCCATTAAGAAGATTTCTTCATGTAAATAAATAAATAAATGCAGACTTGCAGAGTCAGCTGATGCTTCTCTGTATTCCTGCAGCTTTGAACAATAAGGCTACACAGCTAGCTGTGTTAGCATCAGTCCAAACTTAAATCATCCCTGTTTAGCTTTTGTAACCTTGAACAAGGCTAAGAGTAATAAGACTACAAAGCAGCATGTAGCGCCCCCTGGTGGTCGCTCCTCTCCTGTGCCACAATGTTAACATTTCTATTCATAAATCAGCTCATGTATTATGTTTGGGAAGGCGCAGAACTCTGTATTACTGAGGTCAATGGTTTCCTGCTACAGTTATTTTAACCTCTAGTATATTTATCCCTACGCACTGCCTGCAGGAGGAACTGTTCTCTCTGCACACAGAGTGAGGCCTCTGAAACATGAAATCTGACAAAAAACAAAGGGTTT